GATACGTGGATGTCACCGACACCCACCGAAGGACTTTTGGACTACGTCTTTGAGCTTAAAAACTAAACGTTTGAGTGCCCATTATTTGGCTAATCCCTTTCAAAATATTCTCAATCCAAAATGAAAGTTTGATGCGATAAAAACACCCAAATTCAGACAGTTTGTTTCAGGGGTCAAAGGGCTTGTGCTTTTGACTGTACAAGGAAAAAAGCAGCGCAGGCTAGACACTTTGGTCCTTCTGAAGTTGAGTCAAAAGTTAATGACTTAAATTATATCATATTAACACCAGATTGTAAAAGAAAGAAACAGTTATGTCATAATAACATGTTAAAATAATATTTGGAAAGACCTCGTGATGCTGATTTTACAGTCGATGTCACTCACACACACTAAAACAATTTTGGATTATGTATGTCTGAAATACTACCCAAAACTGAATGAAACCCTATGGCATTTATCACTGTCAGAAAATGATTTAGTTAAATCTGTAATTTTTCTTGTTGTACATGAAATTCATGTAAATGCCTATCTTGTAAGTTTGTAAATAACTTTTTGTAAACTATTTTGTATAAAAGATAGCAGTTATTCAATGAAACAATAATTCCATTTTGAAAAATGTAAATTCCATCCCCTACCCCTTGCGGTCGTACACATATCATGTAACAAATAGGATCCCCCCACCCCTTGGGGTCGTATACATATCATGTAACAAACAAATGGGACCAAAACCCTACCCCTTGGGGTCGTACACATATAATGTAACAAATAAATAGGACCCACCCCCTTCCCCTTGGGGTCGTTCACATATCATGTAACAAATAGGACCCACCCCCTTGGGGTCGTTCACATATCATGTAACAAATAAATAGAGGTAGAGTTATATAATACGTGCACTTTCCCCTGTGATTGTGAGGTCTACTAGTGTCACAGTCAGATCACGTGACATTTTTCTGTGATGTTGTTTTTATCTAGTTATTTCCCCTTATATATAACACAAATTTTACTCAGCCACGCACCGTATGACCTATGACCGCGGCGGTGTGTTGGGGAATAAAACAGGGGGGGGGGGAGGGGGGAGTAACATTTGTTGAGCGACAGAGGACATTGTTTGTATAAATGCAGGAGGAGGTTATTATTTTGATGAGTTGATTGCATCTTGTTATGGGGGACAGGAGCTTCTTTTTTAAGTCTTTGTTGCAAACTTCGCTTTTGTTCGTGNATCAGCCTTAAGTGTAGGGGCTAGGAGACAACAACAGAGTTCCAGGCATCAGCCTTAAGTGTAGGGGCTAGGAGACAACAACAGAGTTCCAGGCATCAGCCTTAAGTGTAGGGGCTAGGAGACAACAACAGAGTTCCAGGCATCAGCCTTAAGTGTAGGGGCTAGGAGACAACAACAGAGTTCCAGGCATCAGCCTTAAGTGTAGGGGCTAGGAGACAACAACAGAGTTCCAGGCATCAGCCTTAAGTGTAGGGGCTAGGAGACAACAACAGAGTTCCAGGCATCAGCCTTAAGTGTAGGGGCTAGGAGACAACAACAGAGTTCCAGGCATCAGCCTTAAGTGTAGGGGCTAGGAGACAACAACAGAGTTCCAGGCATCAGCCTTAAGTGTAGGGGCTAGGAGACAACAACAGAGTTCCAGGCATCAGCCTTAAGTGTAGGGGCTAGGAGACAACAACAGAGTTCCAGGCATCAGCCTTAAGTGTAGGGGCTAGGAGACAACAACAGAGTTCCAGGCATCAGCCTTAAGTGTAGGGGCTAGGAGACAACAACAGAGTTCCAGGCATCAGCCTTAAGTGTAGGGGCTAGGAGACAACAACAGAGTTCCAGGCATCAGCCTTAAGTGTAGGGGCTAGGAGACAACAACAGAGTTCCAGGCATCAGCCTTAAGTGTAGGGGCTAGGAGACAACAACAGAGTTCCAGGCATCAGCCTTAAGTGTAGGGACTAGGAGACCACAACAGAGTTCCAGGCATCAGCCTTAAGTGTAGGGGCTAGGAGACAACAACAGAGTTCCAGGCATCAGCCTTAAGTGTAGGGACTAGGAGACAACAACAGAGTTCCAGGCATCAGCCTTAAGTGTAGGGGCTAGGAGACAACAAAAGAGTTACAGGCATCAGCCATATAGGGGCTAGGAGACAACAACAAAGTTCTACACATCAGCCTTGAAGGGGCCAGGAGACAACAACTGTGTTCTAGATCTAGACTCCTATATTGTTTCTGTGGTCCATACGGAGGGGACTTACTCTTAGACGACGCTCTATCCGCCGCAAGTTGGCCTATCTATAGTTTGGTCAATGACAAGCGATCAATAACGGAACAAACTTCTAGGCGAGTTATGACTTCTACTTCTGGTGCTAGGACAGACTAAGAATTATTTATTTATTATATAAATGAAAGTTGATCTAGAATCACGCCCACAAGTTAATATATTAATAAGACACGAACAAATTGTGTCAATAGAACAATATGAGTTAATACTAGGTAACAGAACTATACGGAGATAATCAGATTCATTACCAAATGCCTACACGGTAATACGAGGTAACAGAACACTACAGAGGTAACAGATTCATTACCATGATTACGTGAAGTAAGCGTCTAACAATATTACTTTCTTGACACACAGAAATATACTTTATGGCCAGGCTCAAGTAGTCATCCTGCGCGCAGCACCTGCCACCTATCTGTAAGTACGGTAGTGGAAGTCAGTGGAAGTTGAAAGGTCATCAAAAAGAACAATTCACTTTAAAGTTACTTAGAAGTCCTGCAGCTGATGGAGTTAACGCTCTTACCTGTTTATTATATTAACTTACAGTCTTTTGAATTAAAGTTAAAAAAAAAGAGAACATTTATTGTCACGGTTGATGTATGACATTAAGATGTATGGCATTAACTAAGATGTATGGCATTAACTAAGATGTATGGCATTAACTGAGATGTATGGCAATAACTAAGATGTATGGCATTAACTAAGATGTATGGCATTAACTGAGATGTATGACATTAAGTAAGATGTATGGCAACTAAGATGTATGACATTAACTGAGATGTATAGCATTAACTGAGATGTATGGCATTAACTAAGATGTATGGCATTAACTGAGATGTATGGCATTAACTGAGATGAATGACATTAACTGAGATGTATGGCATTAACTAAGATGTATGGCAACTAAGATGTATGACATTAACTGAGATGTATGACATTAACTGAGATGTATGGCATTAACTAAGATGTATGACATTAACTGAGATGTATGGCATTAACTGAGATTTATGGCATTAACTGAGATGTATGACATTAACTGAGATGTATGGCATTAACTAAGATGTATGGCAACTAAGATGTATGACATTAACTAAGATGTATGGCATTAACTAAGATGTATGGCAACTAAGATGTATGACATTAACTGATATGTATGGCATTAACTGAGATGTATGGCATTAACTGAGATGTATGACATTAACTGAGATGTATGGCATTAACTGAGATGTATGGCATTAACTGAGATGTATGACATTAACTAAGATGTACGGCATTAACTAAGATGTATGGCAACTAAGATGTATGACATTAACTAAGATGTACGGCATTAACTAAGATGTATGGCAACTAAGATGTATGACATTAACTGAGATGTATGGCATTAACTAAGATGTATGGCAACTAAGATATATGACATTAACTGAGATGTATGGCATTAACTGAGATGTATGGCATTAACTGAGATGTATGACATTAACTGAGATGTATGGCATTAACTGAGATGTATGGCATTAACTGAGATGTATGACATTAACTGAGATGTATGGCATTAACTAAGATGTATGGCAACTAAGATGTATGACATTAACTGAGATGTATGACATTAACTGGGATGTATGTTATAAACTAAGATGTATGATATTAACTGAGATGTATGTTATAAACTAAGATGTATGGCATTAACTGAGATGTATGTTATAAACTAAGATGTATGACATTAACTGAGATGTATGTTATAAACTAAGATGTATGGCATTAACTGAGATGTATGTTATAAACTAAGATGTATGACATTAACTGAGATGTATGTTATAAACTAAGATGTATGACATTAACTGAGATGTATGTTATAAACTAAGATGTATGACATTAACTGAGATGTATGACATTAACTGAGATGTATGACATTAACTGAGATGTATGGCATTAACTAAGATGTATGACATTAACTGAGATGTATGTTATAAACTAAGATGTATGACATTAACTGAGATGTATGTTATAAACTAAGATGTATGACATTAACTGAGATGTATAACATTAACTGAGATGTATGACATTAACTGAGATGTATGGCATTAACTAAGATGTATGACATTAACTGAGATGTATGGCATTAACTAAGATGTATGACATTAACTGAGATGTATGACATTAACTAAGATGTATGACATTAACTAAGATGTATGTTATAAACTAAGATGTATGACATTAACTGAGATGTATGGCATTAACTAAGATGTATGACATTAACTAAGATGTATGTTATAAACTAAGATGTATGACATTAACTGAGATGTATGACATTAACTAAGATGTATGTTATAAACTAAGATGTATGATATTAACTGAGATGTATGGCATTAACTAAGATGTATGACATTAACTAAGATGTATGTTATAAACTAAGATGTATGACATTAACTGAGATGTATGACATTAACTAAGATGTATGGCATTAACTAAGATGTATGGCAACTAAGATGTATGACATTAACTGAGATGTATGACATTAACTAAGATGTATGACATTAACTAAGATGTATGGCAACTGAGATGTATGACATTAACTGAGATGTATGTTATAAACTAAGATGTATGGCAACTGAGATGTATGACATTAACTGAGATGTATGACATTAACTGAGATGTATGTTATAAACTAAGATGTATGGCAACTGAGATGTATGACATTAACTGAGATGTATGTTATAAACTAAGATGTTAAAAAATGTGAAGTATTTGAGAATACATTTTACAAATATATTTGGAAATGAATTGAAGTTTTAGTTTTAATGAGGTCTGAAACAACACAATTTTTTTTCCATTGACCTAAAGTCAACGGTTTGATCAATTATCGAAAGGATTTTTAACCTAGACATACAAAAAGTACTTTGAGAAAATGTTCATTTTTAGATGTTGAACCTCCCCCAGAGCTAATCACTCAAAAATGAACCCCCTAAACAATTGTAATATAATCACTCAAACATGAATCCCGTAAACAATGTTCATAAAATCACTCGAACATGAATCCCCAAAACAATATTAATATAATCACTCAAACATGAACATCTTAAACAATATAATATAATCACTCAAACATGAACATCTTAAACAATATTAATATAATCACTCAAACATGAACATCTCAAACAATATTAATATAATCACTCAAATATGAACATCTTAAACAATATTAATATAATCACTCAAACATGAACATCTTAAACAATATTAATATGATCACTCAAACATGAACATCTTAAACAAAATTAATATAATCACTAAACCATGAACACCTTAAACAATATTTTAATAATCACTCGAACAAACCCCCAAACAATGATAATGAAATGGAGTGAGTATTTAAATGTAGCCTGGTAATTAAGTCTAGGAAAACCAACTTTCAAAACATAACAATCTAAAAATTTCCCCAAATAAAAAGATGACCACCCTAACAATGTTCAAATAAAAAGATGACCACCCTAACAATGTTCAAATAAAAAGATGACCACTAACAATGTTCAAATAAAAAGATGACCACTAACAATGTTCAAATAAAAAGATGACCACTAACAATGTTCAAATAAAATGTTGAGCATCTCTAGTTGAAATCTTCATGTACACAATAATAACGTTTATTCTAAAGCAAATGTTGCATGTCAGTGATGCTAAAGACAGATGAATTGTTATTCTATGACAGCTTAGCTCCTGAATGTTGATACATTTATTTGATATTTAAAGTAAAGGCCCTCTTTTTATTTCCTTTGAATCTCAGAAACTTTGGTACTGTGGATAAAAATAAATCTAACCAGCATTGACAAAAACTTATTTGGCTAACAATTTGAACAACAGAATTTCACAGAACAATTAATTTAATGAACATATTTTGTAAAGTATTTAAGCTTAATATCACTAATACGTTAGACCCCACTATGATTCTGTTTGAGAACAATGAGTATGAGTCTCAAGTCTCTGTTTAAGAACTATGTTTCTTAAGTCGGAGTTAAAGAACAACAAAACATTTGAGTATTTGTTTAAACATAAATAAAACTTCAATTGAATAGGAACAAAGCATCACATAAACCGGCCGTGTTCTGATTTGACAAGGCCTCACTATAACCAGGGATGAACAAACAGAGGTGACCCAGTCACTGTGGCAACTGATTGGTTTTTACCTGGGGCCTGAATGTTCATATTAAGTTCTAAATAGTTATTTAAAAAATGCCGCCTTCAGTGAAAAGGAGTCTGGCTCCAGACTTCGGTTTAGTTTTATCTACCTACCCTTGGACACAGCAAAAAGCTTGGTTCATTATAGTAGTTAACATAAATATGAAATCCATCAATGACTTTTTATAACCTCAAACACCAGGATTTATTTATCCAGTAGATTTAAACAATATTAAGCAATATTTCAAGCAATATTGATGTCTTAAAAACTTAAAATACAATTTTACATATTTGTAGTTTCATTACTACTTGGTAAGGAAAACAGAAAAAAGTCAAACATGAGAACATATGGTTGGCAGCATGCCTTTAAAGCTCTGCAAGCATACTCTTGAATTGTGTTAACGAAAGCAATTCTTACAATCAAGTTAGATGTTAAAAAAATTAACAGTCTGACTCATTTGTCTCTTATTTTGTTGTTTTGAAGATTTTATTTTGGCTAAAGAATTGTTCAATCCCATTTAAAATTTGCTGATGTCTTTTGACTTTGGTGCCTCGTCTTTCCTTAGGGTTTTCCTTCTTGCTAAAAGAATTGCTGTGTCGATTAGCTCATTACACTGGCCTACGAGCGCATAGATGGGAAATACCATGGAAAAATTCAAACCTGCAAACTCTTTGTTATGAGGCAGAGGTGCTTCTACAGTGCAATAAGGCTTCCTAAATATATTATAAATTATAGATACTATAGAAACAGAAAGTTTTTAAAAACAAAAAAAAAACTTGTGCTGTCAACAACTCAATTCTTTGAAATACATATTTCAAAGATGGTTGCTCGAATAAAACAATAGACAGCCCAAGAGCAATGATTTGTGGTATTAAATATTTCATACTTCACTCAAAACAATTGGTTAACCTATTTATTGTAATTTAGTCAGAATTTTATGTATTTTTATAGCCAAAGAAAAAACCATAAGCTGAAAGACAATGAAAAATTAACTGGCTTTTAGAAACTTAGTCTTTGACTGCAATAATTCTGGATTTAAACTTTGGCAGCTTAAATGGCAGCAATTACTGAAAATTCAAAATAAAATTAAAAAGAATGGTAAAAAATTTCAAGGAACAAAATTTGGTAAAATGATATTCTCCTTTTCGTGGTGATGATTGGGATCTCCAGGTATTTGAAAGCAGTCCACAGGGAAGACACTGATGGTCTTGTTGTAGATATTGAGGCTGATGGCGGTACATCCAAGAATTTGACTTTTGTGCAGCCCCAATCGATCCACACGGTACACAGTGTTAAAGAAATGAACACACATATCAGCCACTGTTGGGTTAGATCCCAGGCAGAGTAATGGCGGGGCATCAGCTGAGCAAAGACAACAATTGGATAGTTTCAAATATAGATGCTATGACTTCTCAATAAATATGAAACAAAATTAATGAACAAACATTTCAACACTGCAACTCACATTATTTGTATGATGGCGATATACAAAGAGAACAATAATTTCTCTGACTGGTTATTTGATAAAACTTGATTATAGTCAGGTATAAAGTGCATTATGTATCAAATACTTAAAATGGCAATAGTATTTAATAAATTGATATCAAGACTTTAAAAAGTTCCTCAGAAAGCTTATTTTAACTTACCTCAATAAATTAGATGAATTTAAGTAGGGGCCATGCCTGTCAATTAATTACTGATAAAATATCTGAAAAGTTTACCTGAGATAATTCCACTATAAATTGGTTTACTGTCAATACCAAATGTGATTTCAAATTCCTGAAATAACAAAGACTCTTTTATAATTTAAATGTAACAACACAGTGATGAAATGAGTAACATAATGATAAAAATATATATCACTGATTATTCATTTTAATTTCGTTTGAGTGAATTTTATATTTAATCATTTCTAGTTTATTAAAATTATGTACAGTCAACTCACTTTAGCAGTTCAGAGTTAAGTGCAGTAGATTAAAAGGGACATCAGTGAATCATGATTTAATCCATAATATAAAAGCAGTGATATAATATATGTATGTATGGTGTGATAAATTACAAGAAATATAAGAATTAATGGGCCATTTCCAGTCAACCTAGAAACTTGAAATTTTATAACATTGACATTGGAACTAAAACTCTCAAAATCCCTAGAAAAATTGAAAATTCTAAAAACATCTATCTGAGGTCCTTGCAAAACTAGGAGTTGAAATAGCTTGGAAGCATTTTCACCTATCATGGAGAAAGGGATAGGGTAGAGATAGAGACAAGAGTGCAATGGGCAAAAATCAGTCAGCTACCAAATCACTCTACTTCAAAGACACCCACGAATAAGAGTGGAGACCAAAGCCAGGTTAATTTACGCTGTCTTTATTCCAACCTTTACTTAATAGTGTCAAACTTGGGCTCTAAATAAAAGTCTTGATAGTAAATTATCCACCTGTGAGATTTTCAAATTCGGAACCAGGAAAATAAGATAATTTTTTGGTGTCCTCCCAATCAGCCAGTATATGGCCAAACAACAAATCAATTGGTTTGTCCACATGGTTGGAATGACTGTCAACCAGCCCTGCAAGTTTACATTGGCAATCTGGTAATGGTATTATAGCCATAGGAAGTCTACACCGTCTGTGAAATGACTGGGTGAGGGACACCCTAAAAATACACAATATGAAGCTCCAGTAGGCCTCACAACTTGTGGCAATCCGTCAACTATACCTACCCTGATGCCACCGCGGTAAAGGTGAACAGAAGAAGAATTACTGTTGTTTTTGTTTTGATATTATGTATATTTTATATTTTCACAGGTGTCTATGTTGACCAAATGAAATATTAGTAGTATAAATGGTAATCATATGGTTCTAAAGTGAGACAAGATTATAAGAGGAATAAGGTCTATCTGTCTAGGCAGGTTTAAGATAAATATAAAATCAGTGGGAATTGTTTGAGTTGTTTTTTTCAAAGATGTGGAGTAATTTAAAGATTATTGTAAACAGGCGAGGGGAGGGAATGACTATCTGAGACAGAAACTACATTTATCTTGTCTTTCAGAGAGTTTTTAAAAAAAGGGGGATGGGGTGGTGGTGGTTTTAAGCTCAGAAGGTTGGAAAACCCTGGACTATAGATTGTGTTTTTTATTTGATGGATATTTGACTGAAATATTGTATATTCAATAACCTCACTGTTGTAGATTTGACTCAGTGAAATGACAATGTATTTGAATTATGGTATAATGTTATCATCTCAATAGAAATCAACATTTCTTTTAAATAATATGTACATTTTCAAACTGAACTTACATGAGACTTTGAAATAAAAGTAAAATTAACGCAGATCTTGTTATTTAGGTGTAGTTTTTCATTGACGAGCTGGACACAGCAAAAGCAATAACGTTCCCAGCAATCGCAGTAGCCCATCTTTATTGGCATGGAAAGGCTGAAGTTAGATGTTCTGTTCCTGGCACTTGTTAACATTGGACCACTTAGGTTGAGTGGCTTCAGTTTGTTTAAAAATTCTGTGTCTTTCATAATATTTCCTATGTCTTCAAAGGATACTGTCAAGTTCCATTTCAACTTAATAAAAAGAGCTTTTGGAGTATTTTTTTCTTTTTCCTTTCCCCCTAAAAGCCCTAGTTGTGAAAGAGTCTTATTTTTAACAACTTCAATATCCTCAGTATGATTATGTGAAGAATCTATTTCAATAGAGCTATTGCTAAGAGATTTTTCTTGTCTCAAGATATCTTTAATATCTGTAGTGATTTTCTTAACTTCTGTTGTGAGAATCGCTGTTGTGTCCTCACTCCCAAACACTCTAATATTCATTGCTTTTGGAGGCTCTATCACATTAAATTTTGGTTCCACAGGTTTGGGTGTTACATTTTCTGTGATGTGTAGTACGGAAGAATCTTTACCTGGTCAAAATGGAATACATACATTTGTTTAAAACTTTGGTTTCATTCTTATTTAAATAAAAAAAAAAAAAATTTAAAATATTGAATAAATATTACCTTCAATAAATTATAGCTTTATGGGTGGATATATTCTGCTGAGTATGAGTACAGTGTAACTCCGCCGTATCCGGTCCCAAGCCCGGGTGAGAAAGGAGGAGGGTTGGGCGAAGGGCTAGCAATCCTTCCCTGTAAAAAAAGCCCTGCTACAAAAACACAAAGAAAGATTTCAAAAGGAAACTCGGACCTTGGAAAGGATGGGTCTCCTAACAGAGAATTAATGAAGCTGGGTGGCCAAAGCCAACTGGAAGCCAACCGGCGGACAACCATCCTCTCCACTAGGACCACCACCAGTCTAGGAACATGGAACGTAAGGACCATGTTCGAAACTGGAAAAACTGTCCAAGTTGCTGCTGAAATGCAGAGATACAAACTAGCCATCTTGGGAATAAGTGAGTCTCGATGGATAGGCTCAGGTCAGATAAAGCTCAACACAGGGGAACTGCTGCTATATTCAGGCCACGAAGATGAAAATGCGGCGCACAACCAAGGAGTGGCACTCATGCTTTCCAGAACTGCCCAGAACGCACTTATAGGGTGGGAAGCGCATGGGTCCCGTATAATCACGGCAAGATTTAAGACCAAAAAACGAAAAATCAATATGGACATCCTACAGGTGTACGCTCCTACCAACGATAGTAAAGAAGAGGACAAAGAGGATTTCTACAACAGACTGCGAAAGCCCTGCTACAAAAACACAAAGAAAGATTTCAAAAGGAAACTCGGACCTTGGAAAGGATGGGTCTCCTAACAGAGAATTAATGAAGCTGGGTGGCCAAAGCCAACTGGAAGCCAACCGGCGGACAACCATCCTCTCCACTAGGACCACCACCAGTCTAGGAACATGGAACGTAAGGACCATGTTCGAAACTGGAAAAACTGTCCAAGTTGCTGCTGAAATGCAGAGATACAAACTAGCCATCTTGGGAATAAGTGAGTCTCGATGGATAGGCTCAGGTCAGATAAAGCTCAACACAGGGGAACTGCTGCTATATTCAGGCCACGAAGATGAAAATGCGGCGCACAACCAAGGAGTGGCACTCATGCTTTCCAGAACTGCCCAGAATGCACTTATAGGGTGGGAAGCGCATGTGTCCCGTATAATCAAGGCAAGATTTAAGACCAAAAAACGAAAAATCAATATGGACATCCTACAGGTGTACGCTCCTACCAACGATAGTAAAGAAGAGGACAAAGAGGATTTCTACAACAGATTGCGAACCCTGGTCCAAATGTGCCCTAAGAGCAATATGGTTATACTCATGGGCGACCTAAATGCGAAAATAGGCAGCAACAATAAAGGCTATGAAGAATGCATGGGAACACATGGTATGGGAGAGATGAATGAAAATGGTGAAAGACTAGCAGATCTATGTGCTACAATTGGACTAGTCATCGGAGGAAGCCTCTTCATGCATAGAAATATCCACAAGGCGACATGGATTTCACCAGATATGTCAACGGCTAACCAAATTGACCATTTCTGTATCTGCAATAAGTTTAGACGGTCGCTCCAAGATGTTAGGGTAAAAAGAGGGGCAGATGTAGCCTCAGACCATCATCTAATTATTGCCAAATTAAGGCTGAAACTGAAAAAGAACTGGACAAGCGAGGGAAGCAAGCGCCAACATTTTAACATCAACCTCTTGAAAGATGAGTCCAAGCTAAAGGAGTTTAAACTTACCATCTCCAATAAGTTCCAGATCTTACAGGAACTAGGCAATGAAGAAACAATTGACAAAAACTGGAAAGAAATCAAAGAGATATTCACGACTACCTGTGAAGAAGTGTTGGGCCCTAGGCAACAAACGCATAAAGAATGGATTTCTGCTGAAACCATGGAAAAAATCCAATATAGGAGAAAGAAGAAGGCAAATCTAAACAATAGCCGCACCAGAACCGAAAAGGCCAGAGCATCAACAGAATACTCAGAAGCAAATAAAGAAGTTAAACGTAGTATAAGGACAGATAAAAAGAACTACATAGAAGGATTAGCAAGTGAAGCAGAGGAGGCTGCGTACCATGGAAACACAAGAGAATTATTCAGTACAATCAAAAAGTTATCTGGAAAGTTCAACAATCCAGTGAGACCAGTTAAAACTAAAGATGGGAAATCAATACCTGATGAAGAGGGTCAGAAAAAAAGATGGATAGAACATTTTGAAGAACTCCTCAACCGGCCAGCACCACAACACACACTCAACATAGAGCCAGCGGAAAAAGATCTAGAAATAGAGTGCAGCACACCCACAAAGCAAGAAATATGCAGAGCAATTAAACAACTAAAGAAAGGCAAGGCGGCAGGTCCTGACAGAATACCGACAGAAGCCTTGACAGCAGATATTACGTCTAGCACTGAAATGCTACACACACTATTCAAGAAAATATGGGAGGAGGAACAGATACCGGCTGAATGGAAAGAAGGACACCTCGTTAAGCTCCCGAAGAAAGGAGACCTTAGTTCTTGTTCTAACTATAGGGGAATAACCCTGCTGTCGATCCCAAGCAAAGTATTCAACAGAATGCTGCTAAACAGAATGAGGGAGGCAATAGACATCAATCTTAGGGACCAACAAGCAGGGTTCAGAAAAGACAGATCCTGCACAGACCAGATTGCCACACTGAGAATTATTGTGGAACAATCTCTGGAGTGGAACTCGCCACTATACGTCAACTTCATTGACTATGAGAAGGCTTTTGATAGTGTCGACAGACAGACTCTGTGGAAGCTGCTTAGACACTACGGGGTACCACAAAAATTGACAGACATAATTAAGGCTTCTTACGAAGGACTATCGTGCAGAATTGTCCACGGCCAGCAAACAACGGCGGCTTTTGAGGTACAGACCGGTGTCAGACAGGGGTGTCTGCTCTCGCCTTTCCTATTCCTGCTGACCATTGATTGGATAATGAAAATGTCTACAGAGCAGAAGAGAAATGGTATTCAGTGGACACTATGGAAACAACTTGATGACCTGGATTTTGCGGATGATCTGGCCCTAGTATCACACACACAGCAACAGATGCAAGAGAAAACCAATTATGTAGCACAGTACTCTGCTTGCATCGGCCTGAACATCCACAGAGGAAAAAGCAAAGTCCTTAAAATAAATACATCAAGCAACACACCTATAGCACTGGAAGGAACAAACCTTGAGGAGGTGGATAGCTTTACATACCTCGGCAGCATCATTGACATACAAGGAGGGACAGACGCCGACATAAGAGTGAGAGTTGGTAAGGCAAGAGCGGCATTTAACCAGCTAAAAAAGGTCTGGAGCTGCAGCAATTTGACCCTCCAGACCAAGGTCAAGGTATTCAACACCACAGTGAAACCTGTCTTGCTATATGGGGCAGAAACATGGCGAACAACAGCAGCTGGTTCAAAAAAGCTACAGACCTTTATCAACTCATGTCTCCGAACGATTTTACGAATCCGCTGGCCCACCGTCATCACCAACGAGGATCTCTGGCGGCGCACACAACAAGAACCAGTGGAAGAGTTAATCTGCCAGCGCAGATGGAGATGGATTGGCCACACCCTCAGAAAGCCCGCATCAAGTATCACGAGACAAGCCCTGACTTGGAACCCCCAGGGTAAGAGAAAAATAGGTCGACCCAAAACAACTTGGAGAAGGGAACTGGAGGCAGACATCAAAAAGCGTGGACACAACTGGGGACAGTTGGAGAGACTTGCCCAAGACCGGGATGCCTGGAGAGCCTTTGTTTGTGGCCTATGCCCCAGACGGGACGACAGGCGATGATGATGATGAGTACAGTGTAATGGAATTGATATTTTTACTAAGTTACCACCATCAAGTAAAATCTGAAACATTTATATTGCTTTTGTTGATAATCCAAAATTCGTAGCCAAAAATGGTTATACAATTAAATTTGTTTCAAACAGGAAATAGGTGATGGCCAGAGCCTTTTCTCAAAGACAACAATATTGTAAAGACTGAAAAAAAAAATTTTTAATGTCATAACCCATGGCATAGGCTTACTGTAGTACAAGTACAACAAGACATTTTATATCAGCCACAGTATCTTACCCCAAAAAATGTTGTTTAGTAGGCAGAGAACACAATAGATTAATTAGTACTTAGGCTAGGTAAATAAAATAGGTAGACCTAAAAAAAATTACAATTTAGAGAAAAAGATGTAGCATTTTGATATTAAATGCTAAGATTTAAAAAATCAATAAGTAAAAGCATCATATTCATATGATTAAAAGAATAGGCATCAACTTAAATAATAGTCCAAACACTCTCAACAGACTTAGTATTCTCAGTGAGGCTCAGGTCTCAGTGCAGGGCCAGCTACTAATTACGCTATTTTTCTTTTGAATGCAGGCTAAATGTAGTTTAGTTGACAGCGTAACACTATTAGAAGTCTTGACTTGAGTAGTACTTATAACTTATAGTTACTCTTATTAATGCATAATAATATTACAAATACTGGACTAGTGACTAGTTAAGTAGGCAAAAAAATGCGTATCCGGAAATTTGATCGAAAGAAATTTCGTCGACTGTAAATTGATCGACGGTAATTTGATCGAACGGAAATTTTGTCGAATTTTTTTTCTTCAGTTTACGTTAAAATTTTACTTCAGATTTCTTTTTGAACGCATTATTTTGTTTTAATAAATAGTATAGTGCGTTCAAGAAGAATTTTGACGGAAATTTTAACGTGTGAACTGAAAAAAAGATTCGACCAAATTTCCGTTCGATCAAACTACCGTCGATCAATTTACCGTCGACGAAATTTCTTTCGATCAAATTTCCGGTAACCAAAAAAATGACACCCTGGAATTTATAGAATTCCTACACTTGTGTGTGTCTTACACAAGCAGGGGTATAACTAGGAAATATGGCTCCAAAAGAGTAAGACTAAAAATTCTAAGCAAGGTAGACAGGTAGATTTTTGTTGCTCATACTCGTACTATACTGGACCAATACTTATACAAGTAAACTTATCATGACTTATGTGAATATTGATCATTCATATAACTGAACTAATTAAACTGATTTTTATATAACTTACAACAGAACTTATTATAATAACTATATTATATTGAGAAAAAACGAAAGAATAATGTTGTTTTTTGTTCAACTTTAAAGGTTTAAAAATTCTTTGTCTTGCATAAATATTATATTTATTATTTATAGTTTATAGGTGTGAAGTTTAATGTAAGTCATTAACGTAACATTATTGTTAAAAATATAAATATATATTAAGTTTGAATGATACACATGCCTACCGGAATATGCAGAAAACCAAGATGCAAACGTAAATACTAAACATCCACCAAGGCAGAGCAGGATGCAACGTTTCTTTCGCATCGCGAAACGTCTCAATGTAGCCATTTTTGTTGACATTTTCTTCTGTGGGGAAACAAGTAAAAAGTGTTGTCAACTATCAACAGTTGCTTCCCTTTAAACACTATTAGGTTATGAAATTTCTATCTTAAATTTAAATTGAGCAACCTCAAAAATAATAGTTTTTTAAAAATAAATTATTTATGTGCATTTTTCTTATTTTATTTTATATTAATATTCTTATCCCCCACCCGCTTTTACACCAAATATTTATTTAATAAAAAAACAAGGTATGTTGAATCTTGAATTTATTTCACCAACTATTTCATAAAAAGAAAATATTTACGCATATTTACGCATCAAATACACTTGTGATATTTTTTAAAAAATAATCCCATTTAGCGCAGTTATCGGGAATTTTATTTCATGAAATTAGAGGCATCATATTTCTTCCATCCTCCCCTTGAAAAACATGAAATACTGATTTTTGGGGGTTTGGGTTGGTATATCGATCGAGCTAAAAAAAATTGATAATAGAATTTATAGAATGTGTTGTCATCGGCAGCGACTCAATGTGCCAAGTTTCAGCATAGGTTTGGCACTAAGGGGCAATATTCAATTTTAACAGTGTTATTTATGGTTATAGCATTTTTGTTTAATTGTGAAAGGTATACAAAAAATATAGAATGTAAAACTAAGACTCTTCACGTTAGTTTTTATGTCCCGCTCGGACGACATCAATGAAAAATTATTGACACTACACCACCAACAATAAATGACGCCACGGCCATGCATAAAAGTGGGGTGATGGCTGAGATTGTCATGAATTTGTGACGTCGCGTGTAACAGTTCTTGGGAGCGTGTCTAAATTTTGTAACTAATTTTCGACGATGAGGGACGAGAGTTGGCCCGGGTGGTGGGGGGGGGGAGCATATGAAATAACGTGATTTTATATTGTTATTTGTGGACGACTCATAAGCAGTAGCGTAGGGGTGGGGGTCCACCCCGGGTGGCACTTTTGCTTCTTTATAAGTTAATGCTGAGGGATGACATTTTTGGGCCGACTGCTGATTTTTTTCGTGGTAAAGGTGGTACATTTCTTGGCCTACCCCAAGCGACCCTAGGCCTAGCTACACCACTGCCCCTAAGCGCAATACAGATTACATAATATAAAAGGCATATGCTAATGCTAGAAAAATGAACCAGCTTAAGAAACTCAAACGCCTCGATAAGCAGCAAGCTCATGAAATTGAGAAGCATGTAAAGATACGTAAAAAATTTAACTAACTGAAACGAATCTTGAATATGAGTATCGAAGGTTCAAAATGAAAACAGCGGTGTGTTTAAATGTGCACATAAATTAAGAAGCTTACCTTTCTGCTTTCTACAATTGAAGAAGTAGCGGGCTCAAATCCATTGAATGACAGTAAAAAAAAAATGGAAAGAAAAATTAAATTAAAAACGATTGTTATCATCATAATAAGTTAGATTATGTTTAAGATCTTGAAAGTGAAATCTTTATATTTAAATTGTATTCATTATTTAGTTAAACTAATTATTTAAAAACACAATGGCATTTGTCTACAGACTGCTAAAAACGCGATTTAATGGGATTGTTTGGGAACTTTTGCACATTCACCAAAATATATTATTTAAAAAATGTTACCCCCCCCCCCCCGCCTTTTAAAATCTATTTAACTGTTACTGAATTAACCAAGTGCAAGGTCCAGGTGCAGGGTACAAAAGGGTGAGGGTGGATTCCAACACTCAGGAGGGATCATAGACATAGAGATATTTATAGCTCTGTGGGAGGGATAGATGCCCCTGCTATGGCGGCAAGACAGGCTGTTTTAATGACCCCTGGCTGATGGGATCTGGCCCGGGGGTTGCAGTTTGAGGACCTCTGCCCTACTCTGCGTTACATATTATGTCATGTCATTCATGAAATAACGTTTATCAAAGTATAAGTAAATAATTTTAAGTCATTCACTATTATTATACTTCCTTAACGGTACATTTCAAATTGCCAATGGAAATTAGTCTAGTCGAAATTCGGAAATTAAAATCTATAATTTATTTCAAATATCGTTAAATTGTTACTTTGCTTCAGTCTTCAGTAACTAGATAATTTCATCGTCCGGTTTACAGAGAAAAATTGTCAGGTGTGATTTAACTTTTCACACCGCCCTAATATTTTACGTTGCTATGTATATGTAAACCAAGGGACACAATTAACTTCGTCCGAATGCACTTACTGATTTCCAGTGAATCATCAATATAAGTTATAATATAACTTTTTAAATTTAAGTAAGTTTTTTAGTCACACTGTCAGAGCTTGGCTCACGTACAGTGCCTCAGAATACATGTTCGGAATACTTGTTCGGAAGCAATTTTACCAGTAAATAATAAATTATGTTTTAGTTTTATTAATTTTAAAAGGATTACGTTGATAATATGAAGTAACAACTTAATTATATTTTCTTATCCCACTGTTCTGAAGCCGATAAATAAACTAATACAAAATGCCTAAAACAAAAAGCTATAATTCAAGTGCAGATAGCCCAAAAAAGAAGAGAGTAAAACAAAATCAAGATTCAAAAGTTGCAGGTTTGTTATTAATTTTTTTTAAAATTAGTACATGTCATTATGCAGCTTTACAGACTACAGACGAGGACAAGATGGAGCGAATTCAACGTAACGCGGTGCGTTTTATCGCTCGAGACTACAAATCCACCACTCCTGGCTTCGTCACTGGCCTCTTAAAAAGATTTTACATCCCCGCCCCCTTAAAGACAGACGAGAGGGACTCCGCCTGATATTCTTATATAAAGTGATCATGGGACTGGTGCTGGCCATCCCAGCAGGCACGCACCTCACCCCACAGAAGCCGGGTAAACTGATCAGAGCAAAACGCTCACTGAACACTGACTTCACCACTGACATTCCCATAAATAATTACACCCGAAACAATAGCAAATGCTTTAAAGTGCCTCAGTGCAACACAGTGCAGTATCAACAATCTTTCTTCCCATGCACTATAATAGCATGGAACCACCTGGACAATGCCACTGTGAACTCGACATCGGTCGAAAGCTTCAAGGCTGCCGTGGAATCAGCTAGGAGCTGTTAGAATAGCAACATCATACCCCAACCGTTGCAAAGATGCCATTACATGGATGCAGCAACGAAACACTACCAGAACCAGAGCAATAACACACAGTTGATACAGCTGATGTTTATCTCTAGAAATAGCTATAAATTTGATACATTATTTAAAAATCAATTTGTATATTCTTCATAGCATAAGTCTTGTCTAGGGCTCATGGAACCTTTTAAATGCTTTTTTTTCTTGTAATGTTACTGTTACAGATGGATCAAAGAAGATTAAAACTGCAAATTATCCCAAAATGTCTGTGAATGATAGTGGCATACCCTGCTTGTCAATGTTACCAATGCAAAATGACTGGAAAGAGGTTCTTGCACCTGAGTTTGAAAAAGATTATTTTGTTCAGATTGAGCGGCTTCTTGGTGATGAGATTGCATCTGGAGCAACTGTTTATCCACAAAGACATCTAATTTTCAATGCTTTTGATAAAACATCTTTAAACAATGTGAGAATAAGAAATAGTATAGACCTTTTATTCTTAGCTTAGACTTAGACATATTTAAAAGTTATTTAGTTCTTTAACATAATCTTGTAGTGGCAGCATGATTTTAAATACATTTTAAAAATTTCATATACCGGTACCGGTAGTTGTTAAATGTAAAGAAAAATGAATTATTAAATTATTAGTAATATAAGTCACAGATTATCACATCATTGCCTATTTTGGGAAAGTTATTTCCCTTATTAATTTGTAATCAGTAAACATGTTATTGCATTTAAACTAGAATCATTGCCTATTAATTATTATTAATTTTTGTAGGTCAAAATTGTTTTGCTTGGGCAGGACCCTTATCATGGTGATGGGCAGGTAAACAGTATTGTCATTAGTAGTCAGCAATGTGCTACTATTTAAATTTAAGCAACTTATGTTACAGTAAATGTCAGATGGAATAATTTTTATCAGTAAATTTTTTACATTGTATTTATATTATATTCTCAATACCGGGTACCTGTTCCTTAGATAAGTCAGTTATAAATTAAAAATACTTCCTTTTTTTAATGCTATACATTTTCATGTTCTGTAGATACTAGAGTGGTGCAGGCCACAGTGGGTGATACCAGTGGCATATCTATAGTTGGTGTGTCATCCAGTAAGGTAAACTCATGGAGTCACTGGCTCCAGATTTTCCCAGGTCTGCCTGCTCCGGTGAAACGCTGCCCTTGTGAAAAATTGCTCTTGTATTTAACAACAATGGGTTATGAAACTGATTCAAGCGAAGTCTGTTAAATTTTATGTTTCCATTTTGGTGTCACCCCTTCTGACATCATCACCCAATGTTATCTGCACTCATCGCTAACCCAAGGGATGCAAATTTTACACACCTCACCAATGTGGGTTTCGTATCACAGTTAAATACAAGTCACAGGTGCCCCAGTGGATCTTAAGCAGATCTGCATTTGATTCAAATTTGCTGCTTAGAGCAAAATTTTTATTATTTAGCAAATGCTGCCATTATAATACTTAGAATTACATGGTTTCAGGAAAGCCCAGATGTTGTTAACATTGTAGATAGTGTTTTTTTAATTTAAAATTATTTATTGTGAGCTTGTTATCAGTAAGTATTTTAAATTAAAAGTAAAAAGTCTAGACAAGGATTTAAAGAAAAAGAATCCCCAAATGCTTCAGCTTGCTACATACTATTACTAATATATAAAAATCATGGTTGTGTTGCAATAAAAAATTATATAAATAAAACGAAGCTGAATGAAGTCTCTCTCATACATTTTTTATTGCTATATATAATTTTATGACTTTTTAACTTTTTATGAAGCAGTGTTTCTTCGGTGAATTATGAGCTGGATATCAGCTGTCAGTGTTGGGGATACAATTGGATTTTTTTTCCTAAACAAGACAGGTGTTGTTAATAATATAAGCATCCCAATGCTTTACTCCAAAATTTACAAATATACAAGTTCATATGTTCAAGGAAATTCTAAAAGGCCACTTGAGGGTGCATAAATTAAAGACATTGTGCATGCTTTGTTAAGTCAACAGACCAAATTTTAGCCAGGGTTCATCAAAAGATGCTGGCCATTGTGTACTGTAAAACTGATAAAGCTGATTTTTCTGATTCTAGCTAGATCCATGCCTTCTTTGCAAGAGCAAATAGTGTAGGAAATTGATTCAGAAAAACACTAGTGAAAATGTGGAAATGAAGTTGATGTAAAAAAAGTAAAAGTGGCCAGAGCTCTGATACTATTTAAGATTGAAACCATGAGTTTATCGCATTTGGTGACACCAACCCTAGGGTTCAACTAAGAAGACATACACTTTTTTAAAAACTAAATGTTCTAATTCTCTATCATTATTTTCCCTTAGGCAATGGGACTATCATTTTCAGTACCAAAGGGAGTGCCAGTCCCACCTTCATTAAAAAACATATACAAGGAGATGTCATGCGATATTCAAAATTTCAAAGATCCAGGACATGGATGCTTGGAAAAATGGGCCAGTAATGGAGTTCTATTGCTAAATGCAACATTGACAGTACGGTATGTTTTAATTTGAGTTTTTGGAATAAATCCTCTTATTTTATAAGATAATTAGAAAACTTTGTAGATTTAAGATGCTGTACCAATATCCAAAGTAAAGTCAACATATTATGATGATATATGGTCCATGGGGAATGAACAATAAACCAGAAAAGTGCTTGTGGAGGAACAGGTGGGTAACAACTATTATTATTTCTGTACACATTTGATGGCATCTTATTGATATTACATATTACAACTTCCTGAAGTCAAAGTCCTGAAATGGTACATCAGATAACCAATATCATGACAAAAAACCCTTGGCAAAAAAGAGAGGCTAAAAAAATAACATGAATTTTAAAAAAAAATCAAATTTATCATAAGACTTAAGCAAAGATTCCTGATTGACAGCAACATTTAAAAAATATATGTTTTGAATATGAATCAAGTAAAACCATGTAGCCTATTAATTGGTTTACAGGGAAAAAAATTGGAAAATTAAAAAAACTAGTAAAAAAATACAGGTGAATTGTATTAAATATACTTTATAATATTTATAAAACACTAAATGTTTCCATGTGAATTTGAAAATTAATTTTTGACTGCTGATGTCTGCACAACTTGTGAAATTATAAATGTCTTTAAAAGAGGACACAAATAAAACTAAAACTGCACTCCTAAACAATGTTTTTAAATTTGATAAATTAAAAATTTATTGTATTTTTTTCCCTTCATTTATATTTATCTCCAGAGCGCATGAACCTAATTCACATAAAAAATTTGGATGGGAAAAATTCACAGATAGTGTGATTAAGGTAATATCTGAAAAATGTTCTGGCGTTGTCTTTCTACTGTGGGGAGGATATGCACACAAGAAGGAAAAGCTTGTTGATATTTCAAAGCATGTTGTGTTAAAAGATTCTCACCCATCACCCCTTAGTTTTGGGAAGTTTAAAGGTTGTAAATGCTTCTCAAGAGCCAATGCTGCTTTGAAAAAATTGGGGGAAGATGAAATGGATTGGAGACTATAAGTTAGGACTGAAATTTAAAAAATAAAAGACAATAAAAATTAGATTGCATGTCTTGAAAGATGCACCTGAGCTGAATTGGGAATTTGCAAAAATACAATGGATTTACAATTCTAACCTGACGGAACCTAACTGCTTTAGACATGAAAACTAGTAATAATATTTATTGAGATATTGTGAATTTTCTTATTTGACTTGTGATATCTTTCCATAATAAAATACATGATTGAATCATTACTCAATGAAATTAATGAAATCAAGTCTTTTTTTATTTTTTGGCAGATGTAAAAATGTAAGTTACTGGTATGCAAAAAAAAAAAATCATCCAGTATTGGCAAACAACGGAAAACTCATTGCCCCAGATTAGAATGGATTTTTTTATTTAAAAAAAAGGTTTACAATTTTAAAGTACGTGTTATATAGGAATTAATTGTAATTTCGCTCATCTATTTTAATACCAGTAGCACATCGCTTGAAGCCATGTGGTTTGATGCCATGTACATAATAATTCATCAGCACTTTCATCATATTTCATGCATCCAAAACCTCATACCTAAAAATCAATTAAGTGTCTCATGTATACACACCCTCTCTACCCATAACTTTATACACACCCTCTCTACCCATAACTTGAAACACTCACCCCATGACCATTTAATTGCACCTTGATGCAAGCTGTCTGTTTTCTGTCACAACTGGTTTACTCCATACAGGATAAACCAAATCCACAATTTTACGTAGCTGCCATGTCTTTTTCCTATTTGGTTTTTTACATTTTACTTCAAATCATTTCCTTTCCATTCTTCTTAATTTTTTTCGGTCTGGTTTTTGTGCCCACTCATATTTTTTTCTCTCCTTTTTTAGGTAGGGTATAACGTATGTATATTTATAATATTATGAATACCGGGTATTTAATTTGTAGCCTACTTATTTAAATGTTTTGTTGTTATACTGATGAAGGCATGTGCCGAAACGTTTACTTGTGTATTATTTAAAATTATAATTAAAGCTTAACAATATAACATATATTATATTGTTATTTATATTGACACAATTGTTCGTGTCTAATTAATCTATTTTAAAGCTTTATCGCAGTCCAACACTCTTATACTCTGGTTGCTGCCCTTCCTATCTTACTGAACTTCTTTCTGTCTATTCATCCCTTCGAAAGCTTCGTTCCTCAGCAAACATGCTTATTCTTTCTGGTCCCAAAAACACGCACTAAAACATATGGTAACCAATCTTTCTCTCTCTGTGCCCCCAAACAATGGACTTCTCTCCCATTACATATTCGCAATATACCGACCATCCCAGCCTTCAAAACTGCCCTCAAGGCCCATCTCTTCAAACTCTACTATACAGAGTCACTCTCACCCCTAAAACTGATAAACAAAGCTCGATGCTGCTGGGGGCTGTCCATGGCTAGACAGTAGTACTAGTAGTAATTGGGTGGGTGAGCTCAAGCCTTTTACTTACCGGTATTGTTGTTTTAAAATGAATAATTTTCTGCAATTGCTCATTTTATGTGAAGCGCAGTGAGCCTAGCCCGGGGTACTGTGCTACAAAAAAACCACCTTAATAATAATAATAATAAAGGCTTTAATAAATCACGTAAGGTTAGGCAGATATGTGATGAAAAAAACATAGTCTACACACCAGGGTTGGTTTCGGTAAAATCATGTACCTCCTCCATACTTTCCTGCAGTGATAGGCCATAGGCTTCACCAAGTCTTCCTGTACCAGACCATGCAGAAATCCTAGTTGAAATCAGTAATAATAATTCCAGAGAGGAAATTGTCCGCCCCGCTCAAGAAAGGTACAGTTTAAATATGTATTTCCCAACGTGGGGCAATTTGATTGTTTAGGGGGGCATTTGGAAAATGAGCTGTCTAGAATTTGAAAACCAACCGTCTGCTATGATTTAACTTGTATTTTTTAAAAAGAGAAACATTAAAGTCTCTATTTACTGCTCATACTGCAACTGTCAATCGTACTCTTGACAAGTCTTAGGCTAATTATGTTATTTCCTTTGTCATCACTAAATCTTTGAAAAATCATACTATAGGAAAAATTTAATCAAACCATCAATATCAGCATTTCTCAAAACATTTCTGGAAAAAGATGACAAAATCGTGAAAGCTATGCCACTCAATAACAATACTGTTAGCAGAAGTATAGATAACATGATTGAAGATTTTGCAATACAACTTCTTAGTCTTCTTCTTATACTTGAGGGGCCCACTATCAATTTGATAATCATTCTGGCTCCTGGTTTAAATTAAATTCAGAGTTTGTCAGTTTGCCTTCTCTTAGATGGGTTGCTGTCTAAGGCTAACGAGTCACATCCGCCGGGGATGCTTGGGATGTTGGCTTTGGTGGGGATTGAACTCAAGACCACCAAGCTATTTGGATTAAGACAGTTTAGACTGCTCGGCCACCCAGGACCCTTTGCACTTGCTGAAAAAATGAAAAAAAATATTCTCAGTGCAAATGGATGAATCAACTTTGAGAGACAGTGAGCTGAGTGAGGATGTATTTATTACTTACGTAATACATATTATAGATAAAAGGTATTTGGCTGAAGAAATGTTGCTCTACATCATTAGAAAGCACTTCTACAGCACCACTAAATGAAGTACTAAATTCAGTTATACTTGTATCAATGCTATTGAAGCTAATGCCAAATGTGAACCAAGCTATTTTGTGAAGAACAAAATGCAGACTCAGACTTTTACCTCACACTGCAGAAAGATGGCTTTCGAAAGGGAATTGCTTGAGAAGATTAATGGAACTATTTGATACGCTTGTGATTTTTTAAAGTGACAAACCTGATATGAAGTGAAGTATCTGTTAATTGTCGATGGTGAAGCATTTGTTATTTAAGCAGAGTTTTTTAGCTGATATCTTTGAGAAACTAAATATATTAAATAACCAACTTCAAGGAACAAATAAAACTTTTGTCAATGTAAAAGTGAAAATATTTGGTTTCATTATTTTTATTGAATTATGTCAGAAAAATATTTACAAAAATTTTCAAAAGTTTCATTGGCTCCAAAAATGTGAAGTGACTGATACCGCTATACTTGTCATTGTCGATTATCTGAAAATTCTATCGGCTAATTTAAAATTAAAAGAAAGATTTTCTGATTAAAACAAATTGATTTTCCAACTTGGATGTCGCAGGCATTGTTAGTGGATTTGTCTGATTTTCAAATATGCATTTTTGGAAGAACTCGCCGAAATGCAAAATGATGAGTCAGTTAAAACTTTATTCAATATAAAAGGAGCGATGGCATGACTTTGTGAGGAAACAGAAATCAAATATCCCTATTCAACCAAATGTGCAAGAAAACTATTGTTACTTTTGGATATAGTGCCATAAATTGTTTATTGCACACAAAAAAATTGTTTATTGCACAAAAAAAAGTTAACAAAAAAAAAAAAAAAAATTAACGCAACAAACAATGAACGTTTTGGCAAGAACTTTCATCAGTCAGTGAAAACACAGTAAAAACAGAATTAAATAAAAATAACACATAGATTTAATGTAGTATTCGAGAGGACAGCAAGAGCTATGTGACACGACATAAGTAGGCGAGAGATTAAATACAGGCAAAAAGGGCATAAGTGAGGAAAAGTAAGTCCACTGCGATTGGTTGTAACGAGGAGTGGGCGGAGAAAAGGTATAACAGGTGAATGGGAACATGACATTTACGCCATGTGGTGTCAAGGTACCATAAGTAAGGATCAGCTTGTTTTCCGAATTCACCTGGTTCTGTGTGTTAGTACAGGACATGACATTCGTTGATAGAGAAAACATCAGACCCCTTGTGGTCACTTCTATTGAAGTACCGTATTTAGAGATGGGACACTGCTTGTCTTGCGTAACATTACGGATGTGTTCAGTACATCTGTCAGAGTCTGTGTCCTGTCTCACCTATATACAATACAACATCTGGCAGCGGGTGCAAACAACACTGTAGACAACGCTGCGGCCAGTACAAAGGAAACAGTCCTTTATGCCTTTATCTGAAAAGTGCTGGTCGAAATGGGCAATGAAAATTTTACCTTTGCATACACCCAAGTCACATCGAACACGAGAGACAACCTTTGGAAACGGTGTTGCAGAATATACATTCTTGTCCCCTTAATAAAAGGGTTGTGCATTAAGCTTTTAAAAATTCGTGCAAAAATTTAAGAAAAATTGATACGAGAGCTACTTGATAATAGAATTTAATTACAGAATTATCTTTTAAATCTCGAATTTATGTACCGGTAATATGGGTTTTAAAAAATTCGCATTAATTTCTTGATTTTGATAATAATAAAGGCAAAAAGCAGGTGTCAAAGTTATTTGGACCAAATGTCTTTAAGAATTGTCTCCCCTTTCCAAAATCTATTTCTATGCTGCATTTTGTATTTGAGCTACTAGAGGAAATGATGAACATGATTTACAGGCCTATAGGTATAGTTTGATTAACAAAGGGAAGATCTGCCCAAATTTTAATGGAAAATTACAAGCAACCCCGATTTTATGTTAGTGTGTCCCTATTACTATGGTCATGGCTATTTTCCATAAAATTTCGGTGATGCCAGATTATTCGACTCATCGGTACTCCTCAGAACGGCGGTCCAAAGATAAAAATATTTCTATAAAAATAAATGTTACAATTCATTTTTACCTCATGGAACTTCATTAAAAGAACCAGGTATTTTTAAAAGTAAAATACCATCTTGTTATGTAGGACGTGTTTACGTCATATTTCCCCCGTGCTTAGATTACTAGCAGACGCTGTGTTGGTGTTGGGCGTGGCCTATTTCTTTTGATCTTTGTTTACCACAAAACAATCTATGGCCTATTCCTCTTGACTCGAATGGGGTACCAAAAAGTAGTAAATTACAGACATTTGGAGAATATTCAAGTCACGACTACAATGTATATTCTGCCCCGAATCTTCTTAGAGACAGGCGATACCCATATATATATATATAGCCGGGGAATTGAAAGATGAGAAAGATTGATTGATTGATATTTTTCACTTCACGGGACAAGTGTAATATTCTTTGTGTACCGGTACTCATATGTTGTTTATTCGCATTCATCATTGTACCTTGTTTTTGTGGCACATTGTACTAACTGTGTACCGGTACAAGACTTCCCATACTCTGTAAGTTGATGATTGTAATTATATTTCTTTTGTTTTGTAATTATATTAATACTTAAATAAATCGTATTAATAATTGGTAATTAGTACTGTTTTGAGTGTCGTATTTTTGCTATTGTATTTCTGTATGGTATCGTCCTTTGTTAGGCACTGTTTACAACGAGCCAATAACTGAAAATTAAAATAAGAGATTAATTTCTCACTATAGAAGGCAGTGCGTAACAATCTTTTTGTTGGAATACAACAATTAAAAAAAATTTAAGAGATCAAAAACAATACATTTTCATGAATCTTTTTTATCTTTCACTGCGCCATCGTGGTAAATTGAGGAGGACTCTTCTGTCCTTAAAGATATCTTATAAAAGTTTCCCAATTGGATGTATCTTGATTAAAATAAATATGTTGTATTTATTTTATAACTTTTATTATGTCTAGGCCTAGGTGTCCGATATTGCTTTCTAAACAAGTGTTGGGTTTACAATTTTAAATACAGTATTAAGGTCTCACATATTTTAGGTATCTTTTAGCGGTTTATTATTGTGAAATAAAGGTCTTGTTTCACCAATAAAACTTCACCAAGGCCGGTCCCAAGCCCGGGTGCAAAAGGAGGAGGGTTGGTGTGAGGCCAGCTACCACTTACCCTTAAAAACAAATTGTTACAGAAACGTCAACAAGAAAAAATCAACAAATTTCAGCCCTGAGAAGCCTTGTGGCCAAAACCAGGCTATACTGGAAGCCTCAAAGCCAAAGACCCTCCTTTCTAAGGAAACAAACATAGGCAAAAAGAAAGAGAGGAAGGCCTAAGAATACATGGAGACGCGAGCTAGAGGCTGACACGCAAAATATGGGATACATGTAAGGAGTGGAAAGTTCTTGTAGACCGCCTATGCCCCAGACGGTGTAGAAAGGCATAACTTAACAACTAACTTCACCAATAAAATTGGATATTCACATATATGATTTTTAAATTAATTCACACATTTCTTTACAATAATAAATAGGATGTTTATTTAATTTCTGCAAACTATTCTAGAACTCACCCTGAGGGCAAATAGCTAAGGGTTGCATTTGCTATATAATAGGTGCACCATTTTCTCGTCACGGGCGCCCTTTTCAAATTTGTGACACTATTAGTGAAAGGATTGTTCATTATTAGGCCAAAATTGCATGAAAATAAATACCTGTGTTAATAAGATGGGTACCCCTCAGAACGGTGGTCCCAAATTAAAAATATTTAATTACGGTATACATTTTTAATTTAGGACCGTCGTTCTGAGGAGTGCCGTTAAAACTATAATTTCATATGATGGAGTATTAACTAATGATGTAACGTCGGACCCTTCCCCCCTCGCTACACATTCACATAAATAGTTGTATCAGGAACAAGGCAAGTTAAAAAAAAAATGATGATTATGACAAAGCTCCAGTGTTTCTTCTTTTTTTATAATCCAGCGGTTCTCAACCGTTGGGGTCATCAACAATCATCAGAGAAACCTATTTATGAAGTAGTAATGAAAATAATTTTATGGTTGGGGGGGGGGGGGGGGCCCCAAAAAAAGAGGAACTGTATTAAAAATTAAAGGGTCGTGGCATTAGGAAGATTGTGAACCACTGTTATAAATGTCTAATGGATTTCCAAAGTTGTGTTTTTATGAATCCGCTACCTTCCCACTTTCCCTCAGAGCGTGATCATCGGCATAAGCCCCCTTTTCCCCCTCTCTCTCAGAGTGGGGGGAGGGGGGGATTAAATGCAACAATTGCAATGTGGCTTGTAAACTGGCAACATACAATCAAGGTATTGATAAACATGTATGGATGTGTTCAATTTGTGGTTTGAGGAAAAGTATACAGGATGACTCATTTTTTACTACAAGCCATCTACCATTATCTAAATTAGCCATTCTCATATACTGTTTCACCAATGATTTTCCTCAAGATGCTACAAAGCATGAGTCTCGAATACAGAACCATAACACCGTGATTGACTGGTTTAATTTTATTTAAAACATTTTAAACAGTTCAGTTTTTTCTTGGACTTCCCAGAGCATAAAAAGTAAGATCTTTTAAATTTGTTATTGGTTTTGTACCATTTAGTCTTTGTGTTACGGGTAGTTGAAAAGGAATTTTGCCGATGTCCTTGTTGTGTACAATAATCTGCTGTGGTCCCAAATTAAAAACACAAAATTCATTGATCAAGGAGTATAATTATGATTTATCAAGTACATGTTAAAATGTGATAATTGTCACTCAACAACACAACTCTAAGTACTGTCCGAAAACATGTTCTTTATGGCAATAGTGCCACTGGAAAGTACAGAAGTAGCTTGGAAAGAGGACCACTGCTTGTTCCACCTTGATAACGCAATTTACGCTTGGCTTGATTTCAAAGCCCCTCAATAGTCTGTGTGTGGATTTCTGCGTGAACGGGATGTACGAAATCTTGAGCATGCACTACGACATCATGCTGATAAACTCCGTTATTGATTTGACTGATATTAGCATCCATCAGTAACAAAGACATTTCCTGTAACTGTAGTAAGAACATTATCAGTTATAATGCTTTCAAGTGTTGGCGCATTTCTTCGCTACGATTTCCAACCAACATCGACCGGTAACATGTTCAATAATTCAAACAACACAAGTGCCACGTCGGCGACGACCATGATGATATTTCTGATGATAGTAACATGTTTCGTCAACCTCAAAATAAATAGGTTGCCCAGTGGCATCAAAGCCCCCAAGCTGAAACTGAACTTGTTGAGCTTGAAACCAATTGCGACACTCAATGCGAAAAAAAGGCGAAAATTGTTAACAGTGGTGTTCTAATTTTCAATGCTTTCTTGCTTTTTACCCTGTAAATCCAATAGTATATCAGTATATCATCAGTCATGAAGATCTTTTGTGTGATAAGTGTGCTAATCCCACAGTGGCACAGTTTGAAAAAAATGACCCGGGGTGGCGCCAGTGCGTGTACCGTACACTGCATCTCCTATTGCATTTGATGGCATTTCCATGAGTAACAATCAGGTGACTCAGCACGTCGGACTAAAGACATGGTCGTTGACAGCTACCGCAGTTATTGCTGTTTACTATTACTTTTAGACGACAGGCGGTGTTCAGCAAGCCACAATAACCAACCAAAGCATGCTGTCAGTCATGCATTTGTATGCTTTCACAATGTTAAGGAAACTTTAACTCTAGTTACAACAATAAGGGGAGTGAATCCAAAACACAAACTAAACAAAAATCACGAAATGACGTCATGGCACCAATTCTCTGCATTGAGCAATACTTGCAATAATTAGACTGCAAACAAACTTTATAATACTTGCAATTATAAGACTACCGGTACTAACAAAATTAGAAGTAAACAGTAGACGTCAAAAATTATGATGGCTATTAGGCGGTTACCGGAAATTTGATTGAAAGAAATTTCGTCGACGGTAAATTGATCGACGGTAATTTGATCGACAGGAAATTTGGTCGAATCTTTTTTTCAGTTCACACGTTAAAATTTTCATCAAATTTCTTTTTGAACGCACTATACTATTTGGTAAAACAAAATAATGCGTTCAAAAAGACATTTGAAGCAAAATTTAAACGTAAAAACGGAAAAAAAAGATTCGACCATATTTCCGTTCGATCAAGTTACCGTTGATCAATTTACCGTCGACGAAATTTCTTTCGATCAAATTTCCGGATACGCTATTACGCTGGTTGCCGGGCACTTTCTAACGAAAGTATTGTGATTTTAATTTGGGACGCCGTTCTGAGGTGTGCCGACTCATCATATCTGAGGAATACCACATTGGGGGAAATTGGTTAACTAAGCCTATCGTTAATAATTTCAAATCAAACTATTTAATAAATTTAATATGATTTAAAGTAAAGTGAAACCTAATCAAACAGTACTCGGTCATTAGGGCTAGGGCGTAGATTTTTAATTCAAGAAAATATAAAATAAGACTTTATTTTTAAAATAAAGTTTAAAGACAAGTAATTTTTTAAAGAGTCGGAAGTATTAAAACGTTTTCTTACTTGTTTAAATTGTATATATTTAAACTAACTTTTTGGCCATAAGTTTAACAAAAGAAAGCATTATGCTTTGATTCATTTTTAGGATAAGTAATCAGTGTTACCAGTTTTTCTTACAGATAGCTTTAATTGCATGCCTAATTGCCATCGACTTTTCCTTCATTATGTACATTTGTATGTTTGTTGCACTAAGATCAAACAATGTAATAAAAGCAGATTTTTAAAATAAATAAAACATAATTATTTTAAAATTATTTCTTAAGTAACGAATTTTATTTTAACATGTTGCTGGTCTAGTTTTACATCCTAAAAATTATGCTAAAAATAAGATAATGTTCCCAAACCCTGGCAACCCGGCTGAATATGTACAGAAAGTTTCATCCAAAAAAAATAAGTGAACAAAAGGGATAAACGCAAAGAAAATGTCTGATGACGAGTTCATGTGCGGTGATGACGAGGAGGAATATGATTTAGTGAGAATATTTTTTTATGGAGAACATACTATCTTGTATTTCTACTTGGCCCTATCTAATATATGAAGTTGGGATATCTAGGTCTAGGCTCTAACTGACTAGTGTCCTAGTTAGTTTAGTGTTAGACTGTTAGAGCTAAACTTAATGTTACTACTCAGCTACTGTTACTTAGTAACTTAAATTTAGTCAGTGATAGTGATACGTACTGTTATCTGTATGGAGAAATTAATCTCTTATTTAAGTGTATGGCTCGTTTTAAAACAGTACACAACAAAAGACGGTACCAAATGATAAATACAATAACAAAGAATAGTATAGGATACTCAGACCAGGCTAATTACAATTAAAAAGTATAAGTCAATAAGTTTTATTTTTATTAAGTTAACTCTTTCCATGCCAGGGGGGTTTCCACGTTCATGCCAGACCAGTTTTCGACCCATGGAAATTTTTTAGGATGCTCTTATCTATTAGTTAATTTTGAATACATTTACAAGAATGCTGTATTTTATGTTAAATTAAATTAGACAGAGAATAATAATAAGTAACAGAAAAAACAATATGACAACAATATTTAACATTTTTCTGGTTATATTATGAGATCAAATTTTGTGTATTTGCGCACCAAATCTGAATTTACCAGACTACCATATGGTCTGTGTAGCTGGTATCCTATTCTGCTTCAATCCTCAGAAAATTTATCCATTTTTTATCATGATGCATTTTACATTTTGAAAATATTCCATTTAGTGACAGAGTGATACCCATTTTTGTAACATTAGGAGTAGTATTATCTGAATCCTCACTGTTGCCATAGTAACAAAGTGGTTTTTAAAAATATTCATAACTTTTGAACCACTTGAGCTAGAAAGTTGATCTTGGTGTTTTTTTTAAATAAATTCTCTAGGCTCTATACATCCGTGGTATCTTAATATTTAAAAAAATGTTTTGTAATTTTTATTCAAGTGCCGACAATCACCACTATTACTATTACTATTACGATCGCCATTCTATTAATATTTACATTTGGCATTTACAGACCCATCAGAATGCTGGAAATCATCACTGGAATCAGAGTCAAATGATTCATGGTTATTGTCTGATATTTCAGCATCAATAATAGCAATAAAAAGTCTTTTGTTTGCAAAATTGACTACCTACATGGTCTAGCAACAGCTGACGTGCTTGTAGTAAGCGTGGCCATTACTTTGTTTACAAAAGTTTCAACACAAATTGAACTATTATTTAAAAAAAACACATGTAAACAAGCCCTACTTCTAACAGGAAGGTGATAGGAGAGTTATCCTTGGTTTAAGAACATAAGAAGTCGATTTATAGCCTCAGGAAACGAAATAAATTACATAAATTATTTCAACAGTATCCTGTGGGTTGGCACAGACGCGACCAGTCAAATCGACAGTATACTGTGGCTACTAACAGGAAGGTGGTAGGAGAGTTATCCTTGGTTTAAGAACATAAGAAGTCGATTTATAGCCTCAGGAAACGAAATAAATTACATAAATTATTTCAACAGTATACTGTGGGTTGGCACAGACGCGACCAGTCAAATCGACAGTATACTGTGGCTTGGCACGGAAAAAGTTAATAATAATAAATCACAAAATCAAAAAGAAATGTAATTAAAACTATTGACTTACAGATAATTTTTGGCTTGTACCGGTACAGTGTTGAAGAAAACACAATGTGGAAAAAGGGTACATTGATGAAAAGGAATCTACACACACACAAAACAAAGCTCTTTAGCAAAAATAGCACACATTCAAAATAACTGTTGCCTGGTCCACTGTAATTCAATCTATCAGCTTTATATACCCTGTTTCTTTAGATGATTTGAGAACAGAATATGCATTGTAATCATGTCTCAAACCTTCCACAACATTTTTCAAAATTCTAATAAAAACATACCATAGTCATAGATTATGGTTAATAACCGAGGTCAAAGGGAGACAACTAGTAAGCCACACCCCTACCCCTAGGCAGTGCAACCGAATTCCCTTCAAAATATTATATAAAAGCTTCTTAACAGCTTATAAATAATTGCATAAGTTATATGTACCGGTACAGTGAAAATTAATTTCTGGATAAAGTATAAGCAATCACATTATCTTTGCCTTAAATATGTTTTATGTCCAAATTATGTTGTTGTAAAAAAAGACTCCATCTTAACAATCTTTGATTTTTGGAGACCACCTTATTCAAAAATGTTAAAGGATTGTGATCAGTAAAAACAATTACTGAATTGTTGCAGAGCAAGAATTAAACTTAAATATTCTTTTTCTACTGTGGAGTAATTTTTCTGATGGGTATTAAATTTCTTATAGAAATAACAGGCAGGATGATCTACACTGTGGTCATCTTCTTGAAAAAGAATTGCTCCAATGCAAACGCCACTGGCATCTACAGCTAATTTAAAATTTTTGTTAAAGTCTGGTGCAATGAGAACATGAGCATTAGCAAGTATATTTTTAATGTTTTCGAATGCTTCCTGACAAACACCTGACCAATTAAATTTTGAATTTTTCTTTAACATATTATTTATGTGAGAAGCAATAACTGAGAAGTTTTTGCAAAATTTTCTTTAGTAACCTGCCATTCCCAAAAATCTCATTAACTGTGGAAGTGATATAATAGCATTTATCCTAACTGGAACAAGCTTTACATGACCTTGAACCTCTATGTGACCTAAATATTCCACAGCTGCATGACAAAATTCACACTTATTTAAATTTACAGTTACATTTGACTGAAAAAAATTTCTAAACAGAGATCTTAACTGGTTTACATGATTTGAAAAATCTTGACTGTAAATAATTACATCATCAATAAGGGTGCTGCAATTTTCCTGGTCAGCAATAATGCTATTAACTAGACGTTGGAATGTAGCTGGGGCATTTTTCATTCCAAACGGCATTACTTTATATTGGCATAAACCATCTGGAGTACAGAAAGCACAGATTTATTTTGTTCTGTCAGATAGAGGAACCTGCCAATAACCTGATTAGTAGGTCTATCTTGGTCACATATTTGGCATCGCCTGTTCGATCTATAAGATCGTCTATCCTTGGAATCAGAAAGGAATCAGACTTTGTAACTGAATTCACTTTCCTGAAGTCAGTGCAAAACCTGTAAGTTTTGTCAGGGACTAAAATACATGGAGAACTCCAGTTACTAGAGCTTGGTTCAATGATATCATTTTCAAGCATGTATTTTATTTCAGACCGGATTATTTCAAGTTTTTCCGGATTGATCTTATAGGGGTGTTGCTTGACTTGAACTTCATTGCCAATGTCAACATCATGTACAACAATGTTTGTTTAATTGGGGACGTCAGGGAAAAATGAAACAAAATCTGCAATAACAGACTTTACAACATCCTTCTCTGACAATGACAAATGTCCTAGTTTCTTATCTAAGGTAGCCAGAAAAATTAAATGAAAGTAAAATGGGACACCTATACAACAGTCAGTAAGTCAAATCTCAAGTTATTGTGACTAGTAACAGTAGCTCAGTAGTTATAGTAGTACTGTCAATAGAGAGCTAGTTTGATTTGGGAAATCACAAGTGACAAAGTAAAGCAAACATGTCGTGATAAACTAAAAAAACAACCTTATAACTTATGATTGCAATGATTTTAGGCGAATTTTGACTATTTAATGTATTCGAGATATAAATACCATAACTTTTAACTATAATCATCATCATCATTGGTGCTATAGCCTATGTTTAGCCCTGGCCTGCCCCACCACAATCCCATCCTTCAATTCAGATCGATCCATGGCTTTCTGCCTCATGCCAGAGCCCCCAACTCGTGTAAGTCCTTGTCTACAGCCACAATCCATCTCAGTCTTGGTCGACCGATGAGCCGCCTGCCCCTAGGTTTCTGCCTGAAAATCACTTTTGCTGCTCTACAATCCGGCATCCTTTCAATATGTCCTGCACAGCGCTGCCTGCCTTTTTTTTATTGTTGCTACTATGGCTTTGGTCTTTGTATAATTGGTATAGCTCTTGGTTTGTATGGATTCTCTAAACATCATTGTCTAACACTGGGCCCTTAATTTTCCTGAGTATTTTCCTCTCCCATGTATTGAGGAGCATCTCTGCTTTTCTGATAAGGGACCCTAGTCTCCTAGCGTTGGTTACTACTGGTCTTATGATAGTGGTGTCTATTGTCTTCTTTGTTCTCCTTGAGAGGTTTTTGCTTCCCAGTAGCTTTTGTAGGCTGAAATTTGGGATGGGAACGGTAGCCTGCTATTATCCTTTATAACTATAAGCCAATTGATTTATGAATTGCTGAACTGTCAGAATTTTATGATACTATTACTTATTTACAGAAGAATGTGTGCATAAATCTTCATAACAAATGTAAATAACATTCAGCTAAGACACACACTCCCCACTTTTACACAAAATCTCCTAATGAATCTTAAATCAACAACCCCCTCACTCAAAGTATAAGTAAAATATAGATGGCACTTATGGCTATGGGCTTGGGCTGTAGAATGCAGATTTGTTGTTTAATTCTGTATAGTATATACTACAAATCACTGTGTACATACAACTCAACTACAGCATCATTGTGGTCATTTTCATGGGTAGGTCTACTCATTAACAGAATCACAACTTAACACCCTGGTACCCACACAGCAGTATCCATGCCCTTTTGACTGCCTGCTCCTGTTAGTTGTGGCAGTAGCAAGTTTTGGTTAGTTAGGCCTAGCTATTAGGTTAGGTTGGCCATTAGGTTAGATTGGCCCTAATGGAGCCTGCATGACATTTAATTATATATTATATTAAAAAAATGTGTATGTAGCCCAGAATTCTGTAGTCTACAGTAGACTGGGTAAAAATAGTATTTAAGTTTAGTATTGAAATTGGCCTAGGCGTAACATATTAATACAATCTGTACAAATTTTCTGACATTTTTATTAATCCTATTGTTAGCAATTTAAAAAAAATTGTTATTATTTCATTAGGCTATTTTTAGGGCTTTTATTACTCAGATACTATTATTTTGTAGGCTGTCTAAAAAATAACCATATTTAATTTTTTTAAAAATGTCCAGCCATCTTTTGTCATTTAAGGCAACCCAAATATTTATTTCAAATTCATTCAAAAGTAATAAATTTCTAAATAATCAGAATATGCAGGCCTTTTGTTAATTCTACTTACAATGTGTTTGTTAAGTCATCCATAAAAGGATGCTAAAATATCACTGGTCAAGGACCTTTAATTTACGATGCTAAAATCCAAGATTAGGAGACTTTGTATGTTGTGTAGTTTGAATGATTTATTAATTTGAGAATGTAAAATTTTTTATATAGGTTAGGCCCTAAAATAATTTGAATAATGCATGTCTTTTTTAGGGGCCATCCATATTTGATGTTAGTTATTTTTGGCAGATGTTTTAACCCCTCTCCATAGTCACAAAGTTGTATTCTCCGAGCCCTTCGCTGTGTGACGTCATTTATGGATGTTCCCACATAAAGGACTTAGCTACAAAAGTTACTATGTAGCTGAACTAATAAAGGGCCCACTTTTAAAAAAAAAAAAAATCAGTACAAATTGATGATTACGTCCAATGTCAACTGCTGAGCTGTAGTCAAAGTTGATGAATTAGAAATAGTTTGAAATAGAATACTTTTTAGTGTTTATTTATAGAATCAAATATAATGTAAATATTGATTTGGGTTGCAATGAAGAAAAAATTAGAAAAAAACTCATTGATGGCTAAAATGTGACCCTCAAATCCATAGCATCGTACGTAGTACAGATACATTATACTTAAAAGTTTTCATATTCCTTTGGTTTAAATTAACAAATAATTGCGATCCCCCTTTGTTAACTTTACTGGGAAGGCTTTAAGGCAGAGTTGCACAGAGCACAATATTCTTGAGAAATATAATTTTATCTTGTCACTCAACACTACATATGTCCACACTCATGAATTGGCTTTCCTCCACTGCCTCATTTAACATGCTTTCAAATATGGCTGCCGATATAGTTTCTTCTTATAGGCAATCAATCAGTTATATTATTGCGCCAAACGTGGACTGGTGAGTTTTACTCGGTAATAAACAAACACCAAATATCATGATGATATAGCTCCCATGGCATATGTGATGCTGTTCCCATCTTTAGTACACCTCAGCTTGCAAGGATGCTAATTTTAGGGATTTACCTGTAATTTAGCTCTAATGTTGCTGACAAACCCACCTTATATTTTTTAAAGCCATCATAAAATTAATTTGAAATAATTTTTATAAGCAAAGCAGGATGATTTGACAATTGCTTGTTTTCTATTTAAAGGTTAAAATTATTAGAATTATCAGAATTAGACTGTAGCTAGGTAATGATGTATTTAATATTGCTAGTATAACTTTACAAAGTGGTTTGTAAGTCAGCACAACATTGACACTGCTGCATTTATGTGTTGTTTTATTAATCCTATTAATTTTTGATATAGCTATACAATTGTATGATGTGACATTCCTTTACAATTTAGGTCTACTCTGAAGAAAGTAATTCTGAACCTGATGTCGATCTTGAAAATCAGTATTATAACTCAAAAGCTTTAAAAGAAGATGATCCCAAAGCTGCCCTGGAAAGTTTCCAAAAAGTAAGAAGTTCTTCCAATAGTCACTCAGTAATGTTATTCATGGAACAAGTAGTTGGATCAGGCTTTTTAGTGATCTAAAACTTCACTTATGGAGAAATTACTTTCTAGTAATGATATTATTGTGGAATGCTCGGTTATTTCAAACTTTTAAATAATTTCAGGTTCTTGAGCTTGAAGGAAAAGAGAAAGGAGAATGGGGATTTAAAGCATTGAAACAGATGATTAAGATTAATTTCAGATTGGTAAGAATGGTTTTGTTTTTTGTATGTTTGGAAAATTGTTCAATAAAATAAAACTGGCAAATAAATTCTGCATATTAACATTTAAATTTTGATAAACGTTATCTGTACTCATTCATAAGCTGACCCCTTTTGTTTTGGCTGGGTCTAGCCTGAAAAGTGTGTAACCAGCTCCCTAAGCGACCCAACGCCATAAAATGATTTGCAATATGATACTAAATATAAATATAATAATTTATTTTTTGTAAGTAAAATGACGAAAAAACAAATAAACATACAGTATTATGTATAACATAGATACTTGTTTCGCTACCACTAATACCAGTATAAATTGTAATCATACTAAAAATTTCCACAAAAAAAAGGACCTCTGCAATAAACAATAACAGCTTCATTTTCAATCTAGGTACTTGATACTCTCTAAGCACAGCTAATCACACTGATGCAAAATGAGGACAAAACATGTAACTCAATATTGCACATGGTCAATTTTGCATGAGGCTTTAAGTTGACTTTAGTTAATTCCTTTTTTTTTTTTCGTTTTCTATAATAATAAATAAATATACCATGAGAAAATTATACAAATCTTCTCAGACTTGCTCATAAGCCAACCACACACTTATTCCCCTGACATATTTAAAAAAAAAAGTAGACTTATGATGAACGAGGTAAGTCTATGTGCTCAATTGTACTATCCTACATATTTCACATTTAAAAGTATATTTTTCTTCTGACAGAGCAACTATGAGGAGATGATGATTCGCTACAAACTTTTATTGACATACATTAAATCTGCAGTAACAAGAAATTATTCTGAGAAATCAATTAACTCCATTTTGGATTATATTTCAACTTCCAAGCAGGTTAAACAATTTAATATTTATAAATTCAAGTTATCAGTTAAAATGTATTTAATGTACAGTACCTCATCTGGAATCGCTCAACATTTATTTAATTGCCATGCATCAAGTTAAGTTGCATTTAGTCACATTTATGGATTTGAAAGATCAAAGTAAATTAATTAAATTTAAAAAAACAAACAAATATTTTAAAGTTCGTAATTAAATTATGAAATTAATTTATCAATTTCTTAAAAGATGGAACTACTTCAAGATTTTTATGAAACCACACTTGATGCCCTTAAGGAAGCTAAGAATGAGAGATTATGGTTCAAAACTAACACCAAACTTGGAAAGTTGTATTACGACAGAGGGGACTACCCTCGATTGCAACGTATTCTTAAACAATTACATCAGTCTTGTCAGGTATGTGATTGTATACATTTTGCAATAAATGTAACAATTTTAAAAAAATTTTATATTAAAAATTAACAACAAGATAAGATAAAAAAACATTTCTACACACATATTCAAGTTTAAGTTTTATATATAAGATTACAATATATTTATGTACAGACTGATGATGGAGCTGACGATTTAAAAAAAGGAACACAACTTTTGGAGATTTATGCATTAGAAATTCAGATGTACACTGCTCAAAAAAACAACAAAAAATTAAAGGTTTGTTTCTTTTGTTTTTTTTAACACCTCTGATTTAGACTAAAAGTATTGATCATCGAGGAGTGTTTCAGTTTTACAAATATATTTCTTAACAGTTGTTCATAGCTATGTAAATAACTACTTGTTAAATATTTTTCTATTGGATACATTTTGTTAAAAGTTTATATATGAAATTTTCACTGGTTGTTTCAGCCTTCATTTCTACACCAAGTCCTATTTAATAACTTTTTATATTTATTTTCTTTATCCAGGCACTGTATGAGCAATCACTTCACATAAAATCAGCTATTCCACATCCTTTGATAATGGGTGTTATTCGAGGTAATTTTTATTTAAATTATCTTTATGATTTTGTTATTGACTCTTCGGTAATGTTCAGTATTTTTCTAATGGAATTTATAAAGCAGCGTAAACAAATTTAAAATGGATTTTTTTGTGGGCAAACAATATAACTCATGCATATTCCGTCTTTATCCTCCTGTTTCCATATTTTTAGAATCAGAAATTCAAAAGCTATAGTCTGTATAAAGGGTTGTTTACATCCAGTTATAATAGTTTGACTTAAGAACACATCCTAATTTTACAATTAAAATATGGCTAATAAATCTGATGTCAAACATAATTAATATTTGTAGTTACCCAATGAAAGCTGAAGCATTTTATGATTTTTCAATACCCAATTTGTGGATATGTCACAGAGAAATTACCAGCTATTTTATAGCACAAAGAAGCTACCCCCCATTTCTATATTTTAAGAATCGTAAATTCAAAACCTGTCGATTTACAGGTGTCATATTAATATTACAATTATTAAATCTTTAAATTTGACCCAAGTTGAAATCTCAGAAATAATTATTCATGTAAATTTGATATCTTCTCCTCACAAAAACATAGCCCAGAGATTTTATACTAATAAAAAAACTCAAAATATCTACATTGATATAAAAAAACGAGGTATGGTATTGGAAAACCCCTGATTATAATATTGAAAACGGATGGATAGGGGCTGATTGTATCCAAGATGGCTGCTGCCTTAGTATTCTAGATCCGGCCCTAGGAAACTTGTTAATAGATACTACAGTTTACCATACTCACTCAATGTGCCATTGCAAACTTTATAAACAAGATATGTTTAGGTTTGAAATAAAAGGCAGGACAATTAAAGGGACTGTAAAAAACAGATAAATTTAAATTAAAAAATAAAACAAATGTGTTTAAAGATCTCAATAAAGTCAACGGTTTAGTTCAATGTTCAGAGATGAAGAAGCGATCTATGTTATTGTTTTATACAGAAGTTAAGTTGTTCAAAACCAAAACAAGTGTCCCATATTATTCTGTAGTGTGTACCATCACGGTAAAAGAAATTTTGTATTATTAATGTGTATTATTAATGTAAAATTTGAAATAGCAAAAATTGAGAAAAGACATAGACGGATATAATTACTAGATAAACTCTACAAATGGGTAGTACATAAACCAAAGTTTGGATAGCTGTGATTTAACTCCTGTTTTTTGTTATTTTAGCTATTCTTTATTTAGAACAAGAAAGCTTGCAGGTCTTGCATCATAGGTGACAAAATAAATCTTAGGAAAAAACATTTATCATCTAGGATTAGATTTATGTACCAAAAGATAGCATACATCTATTTTTTAATAATCTTTGTTTATCTTGTAATACTCAGAATGTGGTGGTAAAATGCACTTAAGAGAAGGTGAATATGAAAAAGCTCACACTGATTTTTTTGAAGCATTCAAAAACTATGATGAATCAGGCAGTCCGAGGTAAAATTTTGAGGAAGAATATGCTTGTCTGTATATTTGTAATAATACCCCTTTCTCCCTTGTCTCTTGGCTTTAAAAATGACTTTATCACTTATTATTTTCTCAAAACTCATAGAAAAAAAAACTTAAATTTGTTTAAAACTTTCCAGAAATGATTAATTTTCTGATTACCAAAGAGCAAATAGTAAGGCTATCTTCTAAGTAAATGGCTTCTATTGGGTGTTGATTGATTATGGTATTGATAATTTTTAACTATTTTTATCAGACGAACGACATGTCTAAAATACCTTGTGCTGGCCAACATGTTAATGAAATCTGGCATAAATCCCTTTGATTCACAAGAGACTAAACCATACAAGAATGACCCAGAGATATTGGCTATGACAAATTTAGTTAGGTGAGGTTGCGTTACAATTTTCATTGATCAAACTAATTGGTTTTGAGAATATTTTGCCATTTATACACATGTGGTAGCTGATATACTTGGGGGAAAAAAATTGACACTTGAACTTTTCCACAAATTTATTTTAATATAAATTACTTATATTTAGAAATATTTATTTTTTATTGTCAGGGGTTTAGAAACCTTTAGATTTTTAAATATAATTTCATTTAGAACAACTAGATGCTTTTAAAAATAATTTCTTTCAAGATGGCCAATAAAAATAGAGCAAGGACTCTGAAAAAGGTAAATGACAACTTCTGTTTATGCTTTAACTAGCTTTTATCAGTTTAGTCTTTAAAAAAATGTTTTTGATTTTCTTTCAGTGCTTATCAAAATAACGATATCAATGACTTTGAAAAAATCTTAAAGACCAACAGACAAAATATCATGGAGGACCCCTTTATTAGAGAACATATTGAAGGTTTGTTTTGAAATAAGTTTGAAACAAAGATAGCATAATTGTTAGAATTGTTACAAGTAGGGTTGCTCTGATTGATTTGCACAAAATTGGCAATTGGCCTCATCAACCACTTTTATTGCTGACATCCGGTAATCACACGGTAGTGTTAAGTGTCAAACCTGGGCTCTGAATCAATAGAAAAATAGTCACCTGCAAAATGAGATTTTTAAGGCGAGCTTCTGGCAAAACAAGAAGGGCCCACATTCGGAACCAGGAAATAGGACAAATGTTTGGTGCCATCCCAATCAGCCAGTCTATGGCTCAACAATAAATTAATTGGTTTGGACTTTCGGACGAACATATGCTAGATATAGACACACTGTACTAAAGCACACACAAATTTAAAATGAACTAAGATAAAAACAATCCAGTTTTTAAATTCAAATCGAGGGACGCAAGATTTCATTGTTATTTTAAAATAAAATGAGAGAGGTGTTTGGCTATGCATCTGGACACTTTTGCACGAATCCGTCTGAACCTGCAAGGGACACATTTAGTTGCAACCGTCGGGAATGAGTTAACTGAATATTTACAGGTGAAAATGTAAATCTCAATAGTTAGTTTAGGGAAGTGTTTTTGACTATGAGTTCGCTTATAAAACTTGATTTGATTTTTTCCGAATACAAAGCTGAGGAAAGCTAGGTATATTGGCTAATAATACTAATATTGTAATGTAGTATACGTTTTTTTGCAATATTGCAATAAATTACGCCCCTTTAATAGGCATTTCCCCCCTGGGGCTCTGGTTGACAAGTCTGTGGTGGCTTCTCAATCAGGAGGCGTCGGCCACCGACCCCCTCGATGTTACACAGGGAACAAAACCACTGTGGTGCATCCTGCGTGGGCAGACAAGGGACGTGCTCTGTACCTACCATAAATAAAACAGCACCTACAGGGCTGCCAGCTGTGACAATTCACAATTGGAAGTAAAAGCAGAGACAGGGGAGGGATCATGATTACAAGTTGCCGTTAATGGATATGAGGCTAGAGGCGAAGGTGGTAACCTCTAGCCGATGATTCTTACTATTCAGCCCTGACAAGCTGCTCCAAGGAAACCGTTTCGTCCCAGCTACTTTGCAAATTAGTTGCTTTGTGGAATCCCACTGTAGAAACCCTCTTAAAGGGCGTCAAACACTAACCCGGGATGGGTGGAGGAAGATATTAGAACGTAAATTTACCATCCCAACTCCTGAGAAAGTGGATCGTGGCCACTGTGTGCAAACAGTGTTGAACCGACCTGGTGTCTTTGGGTTGGGGCGGCCCCCAGCGGAAACCGATTGAGCGGACTCGAGTGGGGGCTGTCCTGGCAAAGAGACATCTCCAACGTGCCGCTACACGATTCGATACCTGGCTTGGGGGGGGGTGGTGCTTTGGGGAGGGCATAAACAGCATTAGCTCGGCGGCCCGCTGGCGCCATTTCTTAATGTGACATTTCAATGGGCATTTCAAGCTATGTACAAAATAATTAATCGGCATATGCCAATTATTCATGGCCGTTTAAGCGATAATTGGCCAATTTGATTTATTGTTGCAACTCTAGATACAAGGAATATGTTCAAATATCATATCATACATTGTGATTAATTTGTCTATTTTTCATTTTAGATCTTTTGAGGAATATTCGTACTCAAGTTCTTATAAAACTCATCAAACCCTATACAAGGATCCACATTCCTTTTATTTCCAAGGTATTTTCATTATCCTTTGCATAAATAACAATTTTATAAACATTTTTAGTCAAGTTGTAAGTTATGCATAAATCATGCTTCTAATTTCTTTTCATCTTATCTCTTTGATATTTCAAAATAGCTACATAATGTTATATAGTTTTTTCTTTCTAAATGAGCATTTTTATTTTGACAGGAGCTGAACATTGATGCCATGGAGGTAGAAAATTTGTTAGTTTCCTGTATATTAGACAAGTAAGTTGTTTGAGCTACTTATTTAATATTTGCATTGTGCATTTCTTCAGATTTTGACATGTTTATTTTAAATAGGTAAAAATTATATTTCTATTGCCCCACATGTTGTCTGTAAAATTTTAGCCCCCGACCTTCCATACTTGCATACAATTGAATTACACCCCCACATTCAAAATAAGTTTGAGTCGTCTAATATCATAATTGTTTGTCATATAATGATATGCCTGTTATTTGCGTCATGTCCATGAAAATTATTTTCATTTGCTGCAATTATGACAGCAATGTGTAAAGATTCTATGACTGTGAAGACCCTCTTCCCAAATCCCATATGCAAAATATATTAATGAACCCACCACAAAATTACTTTTACAGTACTGTGAATGGGAGAATAGACCAAGTAAATCAAGTGCTGGAACTAGAGCGGGAGTCTACTGGCACTGCCCGTTATAATGCTTTAGACAAGTGGACATGTCAGCTACAGAGCCTTCATCAGGCTGTCATTAGCAAGATAGCATAGTGACAGTACAATCTTTAAAGAAATGGTTCCCTACTCATACTATTAAAGTAACTACTTTACTGTTATAAAACTAAATTTTGCTATAAAATATACTTTTTATGTCTGCATAGGATTCTTGAGTCATGAACTTGTAAAAACATCATAGGCCAATGCTTATTGGTAAGGAATAAAAGGATATTATTACTTGCCAGTTTAAACAAGCTCATAAATCCTGGCAATGTTTCTATTTGTGTGGTTGTGTTTATCTAAATTCAGCAAAATTATAAGGTATGCATGTTTTTCATTGCCTCTAGAGCAGGGTCTATTTTCAGTAATTAGATTATGAAAATAATTTATCTTAATACATTTTGATGCCATCTTACTGGAATATAGTCTTAGTAATGAAAAAGTAAGACAGCATTATAATGATACATGCATTTAATCATATAAAATGTAGGTATGAAGTCCTAGCCACTTTAAAAGTTTTCATCCCTCTTAATAGGAAGCCAAATAATATTTAAACAATCTTTATAAAACTTATATTAAAAGTCTTAATATTTTCCCAGTCTTCATCTAGTAGAAGTGGAATCAATGGTATTTATATTTAAGATCTGCCATAGCAAATGAATATTGAAAACTTTAATAAAGGGTTTGGTTTTCTTTTGTTGCTGTCAGTCACTGAGTGTCTTTATATGAGAATGGATTGATCAGTCACTGAGTGTCTTTATATGAGAATGGATTGATCAGTCACTGAGTGTCTTTATATGAGAATGGATTGATCAGTCACTGAGTGTCTTTATATGAGAATGGATTGATCAGTCACTAGCATAGTATCAGATCAAGCACAAGCTTATATTTGGCATTTCATTTCCTGTACATAAGTGAGTTGATGATGTTATTTCTATTTAAAAAATAAAAAATTACAAAACCTTCCATGTCTTTCAATAATTGTTGTTCACATTAGACCATTGATAAAATTTAATGGAAACAGACCCAACATCCAATTGAGGGTTGAAATCATATTTTAACATTATAAATGATGAAAAAAATATTATAAAGTTTATCAACATTAAAGATGTTTTGCCACATATTCTAACAAGTGTACTTGGTATACAAAGTAATAGAATAATACAGCTACATAATAAGAAATTTATGAAATAAACAAAACAAATTTGTGATAAAATATTTTATTTTTTTACTTATATGATTTTACCCTGAGACAGGGCACTTAAATTTGGTAAATGAGAACATGCCTGGTTACATTACAAACCCTAACATGGTATCATACCATTAGAAGCTAATATTTTAAAGTTTACTATCAATAATTTCATGGCCATACAAGCACATTGGATGCATTATCTGATACTGATGTTGCTCAAATAACAAAGATGATCTCTTGTCATCCAGTCTCCATGGCATTGCTAGTAATTGCCTCATGCTTCCTCGTTCGGGCTCTACTCCCATGTCAGATAATAGTCTCTCACTAACATACTGACCTATTCCTAGGGAACCAGATACACCTGTGGACCTTATTCCACCAACAGTAATCCAACCACTGCAAAAAAAGTGGAGTAGTATTACCAATGTGCCTATATAGCACAAACGTTTTAAATGCTGGGACATTAAAATCACATCCATATATACACACACACATATTATATATATATAAATAAAGTTCCTGACTAGTCTATACCACCTCTGATGTGTCAAGCTCAATAAATCTAAATGCGATCACTTAAAAGCATGGAGTAGATGATGGTTACTCTGCCACTTATTTTAAAAAAATTTCATTTTTAAATGTTTTCAGACTGAAATTTTAAAACCATTTGTTTAATTTTTTTTCTGGCTTAACATGGCAGTGTAGCTACACATTTTAATCCTACTGCTTCTCAGAAAATAAGTACAAGTAATAAATTAGCATGAAATTACAATAACATCTTTATTTATGTGATTCTTAAAGCTGTAAAAAATGAAGCAGATCAAGGTAAGACTTCATAGTAGCAAGGGAGCATACTCATCCCCTGAAAAATCTATATTTTCAATAATAATAAAAGCAATCTATGTTTATGCATTACTATCACCATTATAGCCTGTGTGTTGAACTAGTTTTTGTTCACCCTGCTTGGTGTGGAACCATCTATGCATGCTTTACCTCCCCCTTTTTATTACTGACGTCACCAATTAACTTGGTGACACATGCCACTCCTTTTCCCTACTGCCCTTGATGGGAAAGTTTGTTTACTTTTTCCAGAAGGGTCACATTGGGGGATAAAAATACTCTCGGATGATTGAATTCTAGACTCTCTTTTCTGAAGGGCTCTTACTCCCTCATTATACTATAAAAATCTATTAGATGGTCGAATGGGACCGACAGACATATAAAATTTACCAGAGATACAAGACATATGATAGTAAAGTATGATGCCAACTCATCTGTGTTCTGTGTAAGAACTGATCTTTATTTTTCATTCTTTTTATACTTCACATCACATAATCACTCACTCCAGTTCTCCAACCAATATTGACACCTTTAAGTCTAAACATTCATGAAAACAACTCACTGTGTCCAGTCATTCCACATGAAAACAACACAAGGCAATCAGGTCACAAAGTTCACTCATACACACAACGATAATCATCAGTCATACATACTATCACAAGACAAGAGACCTTACAACATTTTTCCATTTGTATGTGTGGATTGACATTTGTAAATTTCTAGTATTATACTTTTTCACTTTTTGTGTGCTGTAACTTTAAGTTAATATAGTATATAGTTTTATTTCGGTATATTTGATTTTTATATTGTTACTTACCATTATATATTTTTGCAAATTTAATCAGTTTTAAGATTTGTCACATTTGTTGCACAATGGGTAAGAAAGGATTAAAAACCAGCATAAAAAGAAAGATACCAAAGCTAGTGATATTAAGAATATTCATTTAATTATACCCGGTACTAATACTATTAAATTTATATAAAGAATACCCAAAATGAAATAGAAATAAAAACTATACTAACTTACAGCACAGCAAGTGAAAAGGTATAATGCTCGAAAGATACAAATATTAAAATACACACATTCACATAAATAAAATAATCTTGTAAGGCTCCTATATTACAGCTCCTAAATATATCTAGGAAAATCTAGATGGTGCTGGGTGGCCGAGTGGTCTAAACTGACTCACTCGAAATAGTGGTGGTCTGGAGTTCAATCCCAGCCTGATACTGATGGTAATTCATCTAAGAGAAGGTTAACACTGAATTCAAACCAGGAGCCAAAATGATCAACCAATAGATTGTGGGCCCTAAAATATGAAAAAATCAGCAAAAAAAGCTGCAGACTAATTTATAGGGAGGGAGTTAAAACTCTTCAGAAAAGAAATTCTAGAAATTAAATCACTGGATATCATTCTCTATAACAAATAGAATGTGAAAAAGCTTTTCAAAATCTAGGGAGTGGTAGGGTTGGTACAGCACTACGCATTTAATCTGTGACATCAATATACAAAAAAAAAATGGGGGGAGGGGAGACGTGGTGGTCGACACAATGAATGCTACATAAAGGTTAAATTTATACTATAACAATATCAATTTAATAGTATAAATTAAAGTGTTGAACTTTGCGACGCATTCTAGAGGCAGACATACAAAATATGGGATGCACCTGGAAGCAATTGGAAAGGAGAGCACAGGACCGAGATGAACGAAAACTTAAGTAGATGGCCTATGCAGCAAGCGGAGTAAAAGGCAAAATAAATCACCTAAACATGTCTACTAGTTAAGTTTGATCAATAATTTAATATTTTCAAATACTCACAGTTGCGGGTAAGTTCTTATTTGATAATCTTTGAACTCTGTAGCTGGCCTTAAACCAGCATATTGACCTATGGGAGAAAAGTTGCTAAGCTCTGGAATCATCCAGTGAGCTTTTAGTAAGAGAGACAGATGAACTTGTGGGTCACAAGGCTGCTGTGATCGACCCTCAACATCTTCAGCTGTAGGGCCTATAATAAGATTATTGTAGACTGCAAAAAAATGGTAAATGGCATAGGTTAATTTACAAAATTTAGAAGGAACTTAAAAGTGATATCTTATACTTATATAGCATATCAAAATATCTATCTGCAAACCAATGTATGGCTTAACACAGTTGATGATTTCTTGCATGTAGGGAACTTGTAATATTGCCACTAGGCAGCTTGTAAGTAGAGTTGTAAATTACTTGCTTCCTTATTTCCAAATTTATTTGTTGCTTTAATTTTATAGAAAGTCTGTTACTACCATGAAAGCCATGTGCAAGAATTAACAAAATTTTATTCAGCAATTAGACAGATACAAAATTATGATTAAAAGATAACAAGAGACAGGTAAAACATTATGATTATAATAAATGATGACCCTAGAATTACAAAATTATGAAAAAATTATGACACTGGCATGCAAATTTATAATGATTAGAAAAATGAATGGCTTTACAAAAAACATCAGAATGCTACATACCAGAATTAAATAAAGCAACCCCTTTTGATTTTTCCGTTGGGACAGGAAATATCATAGAATTCAGAAAATTGCCAGCACTCTTGCCAAATACACAATACTGTCCTTTCCTAGGTGTGATACTAAAGAATACTTTAAGCATGTTAATAAGCACAGAATGAAGGGAAACTTTAGGGTCTTTTACTGATTTAGATCACTCATTTCTATTAATATTAAGTATTAAGGTCACTCTAATCTTTCTCTCCAGAAGGGTTCAAAACATTAAAATTTTTTATTTTAAAAAAATGTGTACCTAAATGTATTAATGTTGGCCAGATGATCCACTTTATCTCCATACAGACCAGCACAATTTATGGCCACTTTAAAATGAACATTTCCTTGAGTGGTAGATAGCATTCTATCATTCACCCCAGTAACTTGACAATCAGTCAAAATCTGTTCTTTTGAAAGAAAAAAAAATGTAGGAAAAAAATCAGTATGTGTTACTTTTTCAGATTTAAATTTCAAAGAGACGTTTTGATTCCTGGAAAGAATAGTAGAGAAACTTAGAAATGTTTTTGTGACATAATTAATTTTACACACACAATAATCACCTTTGATCCTTGCATTCTTGCATGCTGAGCAAAAATAAGACCAAGCAAGTTTGAGTCTATGACACCCTCCCCTGGAACATTTAAAGCTCCTTTATACACTTGTTTAAGGTGAGGTTCTTTTTTATAAAGATCTGCTTCTGTCATTAAGTCAACATCACAGACACCAGCTGTGTGTGCTTGCTGTTTTAGAAGAGGTAGTTTTTCATTCTGTTTGAGATGTAAAGTTAAGACTTAATGTTACACAAACAGAACAAATGATTTTCAAGTGCATTGTCTCAATTTAATGACGAAAGATACTAAAGAAAATAAAGATGTCCTGTAAAATGAAAGTGATAGACATTCAACTGTTAGAGGTACAAGTAAACTGACCTCAGTTTGTGTCTGTAAAGAATTGAAAACATGTAATATCTTATTGAACTCGTTCAAGTAAATGTGCATTTTTTGAATCAACGAGGATGATTCTGGTAGTTGGTAATCTGAGGTACAATAGCTCTATAACAGCTGTTGTGTTGGATTTTTTGTGCTGCATGAAGCCTTTGTATACCGGGTTCCAGAGAGTGTGAAGAAGCTTAAACCTCTGCTGATTGCACCTATTGGTCTGAGTTGATGCAGATGTTTTAAGTGAAGCTTTTGTGGTGTCTTTAAAGCATTTCTTCTGAACTTTAAAAGACCACTTGTTTAAGCTCGTCATAAGATATTCTTGTTTGGTAAGTACTTCAATATCTGGTACCATGTCCTGTCATTTAATGTGGCGGATTTATATGAGAATTATGGTATTGAAGTGGTTCAGCTTTCTTGCATGGTGTTGGTTCATCTTTCTTGCTTGGTGTTGGTCATATTTCACATTCATTGAGAACAACTGCCTTGTTTTAATTTATTCTGGATGTTGAGGACTCTCTAGACCAAACAATATTTGAAATTCTTCCAAATTTTGCACTTACTCTTGTGATGCCTTGTGGCAGTGTATGACTACATTAAAGTTAAAGCCTTTTGAAATTCACTATGTTGTTGGGTTCCTCTTATGGGCTTCCAGGAGTTGGTTATGGCAAATCCTCAAAGTTTTTCATATTTATAGTGAACCCGAAGTTTGTGCAAGCCTTAGAGAAGTTTGCAACACTGAGATGCATGCTGACTTCTGATCCTTCATTGAGGGCACAGTCATCCACAAACAGGAAATCCCTCATAGTATTGGTCTAGAACTTGGATTTTGCATATATCCTCCTAAGGTTGAAAACTTAACCATAAGTTAGTTATAATCTGATCTCATTGTCTCCCCCTCTGTAGGCATCAGTGCCAGGAAGCAAACCTGCTTCTTACTAGGAATTGTTCAGTCAACTAATAGCACATACTAGCCCACATTCCAACTCGCATATCTATACCTTGAATATAAATTTTCTTGGGCATTCATACTTGGCCATGATCTTCTCTACTTACATAATATTTTTTCAATTAAATTGATAAACTAACGACTAAAAATGAATGCATTATTTGTTTTTAAATGTGACCTACCTGATGGTCTGTCCAAGCAACAAGAATCGCACCACATTTTTTAAATGGTATGCTAAAATGATTAATGATATTGAATATTTCATTTTGGCTACTTCTAATACATTGTTGTTCTAGACTGTACAGTGGAGAATCAAAGCCAGTATGTAGCATGCCGCTGTTGAATAAAAATCACAATAAATTGAAGGTAGCCAATTACTTATAAATAACATGAACTAATGAATTCCATGGGAACTGATGTAACTTTCAGAAAAATAATTTAACAACTTTTATTATCCTTTACAAATTATTTGTGCCATGAAAAAAACTCTGACCACATTAAATGTCAATCAATTGAACAACGTCCATATCTTTTTCTTTTTTTTTTTTTTGGAAGTCAGTTTATTTTATTTCTTACTTACTTATTAATTATAAAAAATATGTTTTTGTACCTGTTACCTGCGCTTGCCTCAGACATGATAGATTTATTTTTCTCTAAAAGCACACAAGTGAAACCTTGCCTTGTCAGCTCAAATAGCACAGCACACCCGACCACACCACCACCAATAACTGCCACATCATATTTAATTTCAGACATTTGCAAACCTTTAGATGAACATGTATCCACAATAAAAAAAATTAAATTTAAAAAAATTTCAGTTGAAAATTGCAGACTCTTGCTTTTTTGTGGAACTAGGCTTTATCTAAGGGGTCTATTAATATAAAATAATTTAAATGAAAGATTTGTGTGGGGCGGGGGGGGGGGAATCACACACACATATATAACTTATACCATTAATTAAGCTTATAAAAACAAATCTGAAAAAAAAGGAGAACATTTATACTTCTATGTCCCTATTTAGTACAATATCTATCATTTTAGATTTTTTTTTACAAGTGGGGGTGGGTTGCACTAAACAAGATTGATAGGTTAGGGTAGCCAGAAAAAATATTATATGAACTAATAGAGGCAATTGTTAGCCTAATTAATTTTTTAAAACTTTAAAATAACTAATTTATTTTTATAGTATTATATTTTGATCCCGTTTCTCATTAATAACACACCCCAGCGATTAAATTATTTTAACAATAATAATTCTAATAATACCGTATTTTATTTGGTCAATTCAATTAGGCAGGCCCCAATTTGGCCTATTGCTATATGATATAAGGCTTTATGACTTTGTGCTAAATATAGCTAAACTAATATAATATATATTCCATACAATATTGGCCGATGAAACTAAATGGGCATCTTTACCTAGAGGTCGTACGGGTACGTACGGTCTTTGAACGCACTGTTAGTTTTGGCTAACTTAAAATTTGACTAAGTAACTCTTGATCCCATTGTCATCGAGTTAAGCTGCAAAGACATGGCCATGGAAAAGTCAGACACGATAAGAATAAGAGACTTTAAAATTTTGCCACACATTGTAACGCACGAAATAATCAATTGAAAAACTTTTTTTGTGATTTTACAAATTAATTATTTTTATTGTTTAAAAATTCCGCATGACTGCAAAATATAGTTTAGTTTTTTTTTAGTGAACATTACTAAAGTATAAAGCAAAGAATTAATTATTGGTTGAGGCTCGCTCTATAATTATTAACTATCCGATATCCTTATTTAATAATAATATTACGTATGCCTACTTTAGTTATCTATAATTTAATTGTCGGTAGGGATAATCAAAATTAATGTTCATGCAGGATCATAAATGGCCGTGCGATTGGAAAGGGTGGGGGGTTGGGGGGACGGGACACTAACCGCGGGCAATAACACAGGCCTTGCCTTAACACAATCCCACGTACTCTCAAAGGCAAAGTGGGCCAAAATCGCCAACTTACTGGTCGGCTATTTTTTCTATATATTGCCTTTAAAAAAAAAAGGAGGGGGGGGGAGCATTTTAATATTTGATGCTGTCTCACATGGGCGCCCGCAGAAAAATTTCTAAGGGGGGGGGGGCACAAAAAATCNCGGTGAACGAACGGACAGGACATCAGCTTAGTTACTTTCTCTTTATTTTCTCTTTACTTTAATACATTTTTTGTCTATTTTTATCTAAAAAAAATTTTCCAATCAATCCAGGGGGGGGGGGGCGCAAGTACTAGGTACTGAAAAAGTTAGACATCATTATAAGGATAAATCCATTTAATCATAAAATATATAGGTATGTAACATTTAGTTCTAACCACATCCTAGCCATGCATGGTTAAAGTTTTTGTCCATCTTAAGAGGAAGCCAAATAACATTTAAATAATCTTTATAAAACATGGATTAAAGGTCTTAATATTTTCCCAAACTTAATCCATTAGAACAATCCTAATGCCATTTATTTTTAAGATCTGCCATAGCAAATGAATAATGAAATCTTTGCAATATAGCAAGGGGTCTCAAACTCGCGGCCCGCAAGACGATATTTTGCGTCCCGCTACACGACAGCAAAGTTTAGTGATAATGCGGCCTGCACGTTTTCCACATTCTCATATCCATAATATGACCCTCCCCGACAGTTTCAGTCGAATCTCACCGACCAGTCTAATTCTGATTTTTATTATGTTTGTGTAGGTTTGGACGTTGATTATAATGGTAAAAAACCGTTTTAAAATCAGACTATTAAAAAAAAAAATTATGAGACAAAAATGGCTAGAATGCGGTTTTGAGAAAAGTTTAAAAAGTCAATTAGTGAGTAATGCACAACCATAATTGTATAAATCGTAGCAATCTGACATAGTATCTAAGAATCCATATTAAAATTGCCGATAGTGTTTAAGAGTGAGGAAAATTCCGAGCCTGCCAGCTTGGTAACTTTCAAAATAGGGTTAATCTAAAAATCAAAATTCATTCACCTACAATAGCATCTTCCTTTGCATTAATAATTCATTGCTATTGCCTGCTCCTGCCCACTGGTTGAACACGTTTTAGCATTTAAAATCTTCATGGAGAAGGATGGGGTGGTTGTTCCTGTGCTAAATGATTCCCAAATGGCTAATGGACAGGGCTTTTCTTGTTGACATTACACAGGAGATGAATTTACTCAACAAGAAGTTACAAGACTAGAGGTAGCTTGTCAGTGTTGCATATGATAATGTCAGGGCATTCTGCACAAAACTTGTGTTATGGTTCTTAGAGAAACCTTTGCCATTTCCCAACATACAAATTACTCATGGACTCGGGCACACCATTCAGTAGTAAGTACCGGTATACTGATGCCATTTCAAAGCTACAGGAAGAATGTGATCACATGTTTTAGATTTCAAAACACACAGAGCCACTTTCAACTTTTTGCTGACCCTTCCTACTTTAATGCGGAAGACCCCCCCCCCCCCTTTTTTTTTTGGTTTTTTTTTTGCTTCAAATGGAGCTGATTGAACTTCAGTGCAATTATATGTTCAGGGAGGTGAATGGAAAAACAGACAAACATGGACAATTTATGAGAGAATTGCCCTCCAACTTGACAGAGATTTCCAGGTTGTTCAAACGGATCATGTGGCTTTTGGGAGTACCTATCTGTGTGAAAAGCTCTTTTCCACTTTGAACTTTAACAAGTCAAAGTTCAGGGCCAAACTTAACTGATGACCATCTTCAAGCTATACTGAGGGTCTCAGATACTTCCTCACTCAAGCCAAATGTCGGTCAGCTGTAAGAAGAAGCGCTGCCAGGTCTCTGGCAACAAGGAGTAAGAGGAAGAAAGTGAAGCCTGGTTCTTTAGAACCCTTAATGTTTTTATTTGTTACGGTATTAATAAAGGTTGAGCAGATTGTAACAGTTGTACTTATTGAATTTGTAATCGCATTTTTGTGTGGAATAGTTGATGCGGCCCAGTCTCACTCAGACTCTACTTCCAGCCCCCCCCCCCCCGCCCCCTGATGATTTGAGTTTGAGACCAGTGGCGTAGCTAGGATTGGTGTCACCCGATGCGGTAAACTCATGGTGTCACTCCCCTCCCCAAATAAAAACAAACTTCCATGGTGGATTTCATTTTGTTAAAATAAGTCCACAGTATAGCAATGACAAGATCAAAAACACATAAATCGAAGGTCATGAGGTAAATGTATTTAAAAACTGTAACAACGTTAAGTTATAGTTATTTTTACATTAAATTTACTTTATTCAAAATTGTCCTTTCCCTGTCTTCAAAGCTGCAAGCCTGTCAATCACTTGATCAAAATCAATGTCCTTCACTGTATCACTTTCAATTGATAGCAGAGCCACATCAGAAAGCCTAGACTGCCCCATAAATATTTCTTGATAAGCCTTACTTTTGAAAAGCTCCACTCACATGAAGCCACATACACACATATCGTAAGAAGAATTACAGGCTTAGCGAGAGTATTGGAAGAGATTCTAGGAGGTCCCATTCAGCTATGAATTTCAAAACCTCAAATACTGACCAGTCCATGACTTTGTGACATTCAATATAAGCTGCCTTTAGATGTCTTCTAAGCCTTGGCATTTCTTTCAAAATTTCATCTTCTATAACTCATCATAGAAAGAAGTTAATTTTGGAACAGGCAACAATAACTCTTTTTCACTTGCTGATACTAGACTCTTGGGTTGAACAGCCCCAAAAAATAACTGCTTCCTTGATTGCTGATGATCTGATGTGGAGTTCAGAATGAAAGCGATCAATACACTCCAGCATCTCCCTACTGTTTTCTTCTCGCAGGAAGAGTCCAGATTCTATTAATTGTTCTCCTGCCATTCTCTTCGTCAACCTTAATCTTCTCTCTGCCGAAAGTCCACATTGGTCTGATTTTAAAAGTGCCTTTTCAATTGCATGCTTCACCAATTAGTGACAGCGCTTCTCGTGCAGAAACAATCTGGCCTCTAGGTTTTGTCAACGATTGGCCAAGAGTAAAACCTTTAGTCTACAGATATTGCTGTGTAAGATTAAATTCCTCAAGTAGATCAGCCCAAAGGTAAAGCTGGCAGATAAACGTGAAATCACAGAAAGGATGTAAAAGACCTTGGGCTGTATCTCTTGTATCTAAAATTTCAAGAGGATTACACAGTGCTTCAATCACCACCACACATTCATCAAATTCATCTTTCAGTGTTTTAACAGCAGCATGATGAGCAAGCCAACGCGTTGTTGACATTCTTTTCAAAGACATCCCAGTGGTGTGTTCAATTAGAACATTCTATCGATGAGTGGATGCAGCAAAGAAGGAAACTATTCTTTCAAGAGTACCGAAAAATTTAATTTCTGACTGACGAGTGAATAAACCATCCACGACCACAGTATTTTCTCTTGTATCATCCCGTAGATCCATTGTTTTAGTTTAGTGTGTGAACACCTCCTTTAGATTTCGAATTTTGCCTTGTAAGTACGCTGAATAGTCGTCCTTGTTCGGAAACGAGGTACTTCATATTTTAATAATTTCAGACCGAAAATAATCTGGAACTGGTACATTGCAGAGAGAAGCATCTGATGAAATGTTCCAGTTTTTGTCAATAACCATTACACTACAGTATCTTGGTTTGAATCAACATTATCAGTAGACATTTCTGTTTCCAAACCATCCATGTCTTTTACTTGTGTTTTTACGTCAATCTCTTCCATTTTCTCCACTATTTGCTGCATAGAGTGCATGCTGCTGGTATCGGGAGAATCAGTATCAATTATCAATGCTAGGAAAGTCTTTTGATGATCCCTGACCCTGGTCATCATAATGTGGTTTATTGATATTGAAGCATGTATTCTGGTAGTGATTTTAGTGAGTCGCGT